TCCTTAGAGTTTGTCTTTTCTAGAAGGTTGTATAAATGGAGTTACGCTGTGTAGCCTTTGGGTCTGGCTTCTTTCACTCGGCTGGTGGTGTTGCCTCAGCCTGTTTGCGTGGCTACTTCCAGTCCGAGGCTCCTTCTCCAAATGCCAGCTGTGCCCACAGGTAGTTCTGGGGGCTCACACTTGCCTTTTGGGTTCATTACAGGATTGCACAATGCAGAAGGTTGCCAGGGATTGGGCGGAGGGGTGGGCGGGGTCTGGGCTGCCTCTCACTTCTGTTATGCCCTGAAGCTTGCATCTCAACTAGCAGGTCCCCTCTCTCCTGGGGACCCTCACGTCTGCTCAGGTTGCACAGTCCTTGGCATTGAGCATTGGGGGGAAGGGGGAGGGGAGAGGGAATGGGCGTAGCATGGATGAGAAGGCAGGGACCTGGCCTTGGGCTCCTCACCACCCTTTCCTGCATCTGCTTCATCTGCAAACCGAGGGTATTATTCTAGAAGGTCTCAGGCCTTCTGCAGTCACTGCATCCTGTCTTCCCACTAGTCCTTCCCAATTCTGCACCCTGTGCACATGGCCACAGCTAATCTGGGTCCCATCAGCGCAGTAGTGGCGTGGTGTTACCTAAACTCCTCACGAGAGGGGCACCCTGCATTTCTCCATTTAGATACAAATGAAGCGACAAAGGTTTTGTGAGCTATTGAGAGAGGGCATTCCTCCGTAGGACCCCAAGGTGACGTGTCTTGATCTTGGCCGGCTCAGTGACAGGTGCGCCCTGGGAGGCAGCCAGGCCCCTCTCCAAGCAAACAACACCTGAGCCCAGGCCGGGCCAGTGCGAGGCCCACAGGCTCCCGTGCTAGAGCCCAGGTCTGTGCCGCTGGGAGGCCCTGGGCTGCATTTTGCCAGGGAGGGCTCCCCACCCCCACCCCCACCCCCACCCCCACCCCCACCCCCACCCCTAGGAGTCTTATTTCTGTCCGGCCTGTCTTGAAGGGAGGGACCCAACTCCTGCGGCTGCAGGTTGGGGTGAGGCTAAGACAAGTGACAGAGCATGTTCCCCCTCCCCCTCACCATCTAGACGCTGGGCCAGGCTCTCAGGCGCCTCTGCTGGGAGGTGCCTCTGAGGGAGAGGGCTGTGACCACCTCTGGCCTCTCTGGGCGCTGTTCAGGGGACACTGACCCTTTGTGTTTCAGGGAGATTCCCGATGGGATTGCAAGGGTGAATGCAAAGGGTCCGGCACATGGGTGCTCTACTGGGCACATGGGTGCTCTACAGAGGTCCCAGGGGCAAGAGCACTGGACTGGCCGCTCTGCTGTCTCATTTGTCCCGTGACCTGAAGTCACTTCCCCTCCCGGGACCTCTGTGGACCCATCTGTCAACGGAGACGCTCCCTTCCAGCGTCACAAACAGCAGCCTGGCTCTCGGGAGCCGTGGCCTCTGGGCGGCCATGTGGACCCGGGGACAGACATTCAAAGGGACCCCAGCCCCCCTTGGTGATGGGCCCCGAGTCTGCATCTGGGCCCTGCCCACAGGAGGGAGGCGAGGGGGCGGAGGGGCACGGCCGTCCTTTCGCAGACACGAGCACATCACAAACCCTACGAAGGTGGAATTTTCTAACAAAATAAACTTGCTTGTTTGGTCTGTTTTCTGTAACTTTTGCTAAATACTTTATACATTTTTAATGTTGCAAAGCTGTGTCTCCTGCCAGCATTCCTCATCCCGGTATGAATGTGTTTACTTCGAATTGTATATCCTTCCCCTCTGGCTGCCTAGATCGGTAAATAAAATCGATGTAATATAATTTATAAGTAACACTGTTGAAACTCTGATCCCTATGGGGGCGCCCTTCCCGCCCCCTGTAATAGCATTTGTGTGTATTAATGCTGAAGAATTAAATGTTTAAAGGGTTTAAATTTTGAAGGCATTTGCTATCTATAATTGTTCTGCGTTATCATAAAGCGTTTTCAGGAAGTTAAATGCTCTCCCATTTTTCCCCCCGGCTCTGTGTGGACACTTGAGATGCTTAGAGTCACCCCATGGGAAATAAACTGTCCAGCGACGCTGGTCCCGCTGGTGACCCTCCCTCCTGGAGTGCGGCCATGCTCTCCTTTGTACAAATGGTCTTTGCATTCCTCCAGGCTCCGGGGATCGGTGATAAGTTTTCTCCTGATAGCTTGGCAGAGGGCCAAGAGGGCCACAAAGGTGCCACGCTGCCGTACCCACACACCTGGCCCCAGCCTGGTGACTTATCCCTACAGACACAAGGGGATTCTGGCTATAGTTTCTCATCTCATCCATCCATCCCTTCCTCACTTCGTGCCATAATTATTCAGTACCTACCACACTGTTCCAGGTCCTGGGAACACCGTGCATGAAACAAGCCGGGGGGGAGGTCATCTTGTCTTTGAGCTCAGAGCAGGGGAAGGGGGAGGAATGGGGGTGGGGGCTGGGGGCTAAGACAGCTCCTGGTTTGGGGTGCGAGCAGGGCCAGCCTCTGGGAAGAGCCTGCTTCTTGCAGTCAAGGTCAGGCTCAGGGGAGACACACGCCGAGACTGGCTGGAGACGAGCCTTCTCCCCAGTGGTCTTCGGGGTTCGGGGAGAGTTTATGGTCCCCGCTCAGACTTAACAAATCCATTCACAATACATCATCTCCAACAACTTGTTTGACTAAGGAGCATAAACTCTCCCTCTGATAGAAGATGTTTATGCAGGTTTTCAAACAAACCTCCAGGTCATGACCCCTCTCTCAGCAGCATCAACACAGCTGCCTGTGGTCCCCTCCAGCGGTCCGGCCCCTCCGGGCACAGCAACCTGAGGAATGTGGACAGTGCCAGGCTGCCTCCAACTGGTTCCAGCTCCTTCCTCCTTGCCCTTGGAAAGGGCAGAGAGGTTGGGGGCGAGAGGGGGGGAGGCCCCAGCTACCTCTGTGTTAACCCAGGGCCCTGTTTCCTTGTCCACATCTTCTGTTGTCATGGCAACCCCAGCTCCTCACCTATAGAAATGGAGCTTCTTGCCCCCTCGGCCCAGGCCGTGGTAATGTCTCAAGAAGAGCCTTGGATGGGAGCCTGCGAATCTGGGCTTTCCTCCCGCGTTGCCATTTAGCCACCCTGTGACCCAGGCAGGCGGAGTGTGCCTGGGAGCTCCGTTTCTCCCTGTAACACCGGCCTGGCCTCATCTGTAGGCTTGGTGTGTACAGCCCGGGACCAGGAGGCACGTCTCATGGCCTCTCACACCTGGTTCTGAGGTCAGGGGTGAAGCCTCAGCCTCGTTTCATGGCCTGGGTTTGTTTTGTTTGTTTTTTAGTCCAGTGACTGTCCTATTTCTAACTGCTCTTGAGAACAAATGCCTTAATACAGGATAGTGAAATCTAGAACAAGAGAAAGGGCTCCTAATCTATACTAATAAAAGCATAATATGCTAATTAGGCCTGGTAAACCAGATATCTTTCGGTCATCCTTCCAAACAAAGCCGCAGTGGCAGGGGCTGAGGCAGAGGCAGTTAGGGGCAACCAGGCCAGCAGGGGAGCAGTTAGGGGCGATTAGGCTGGAAGAGGAGAGCAGTTAGGGGCCATCAGGTAGGCAGGCAGGCAGGTGAGTGGTGAGGAGCCAGAGGTCCCTGCGGGATCAGGCCTAAACCAGCAGTCAGACATCCCCCAAGGGTCTCGGATTGGAGAGGGTGCAGGCCGGGCTGAGAGACGTCCCCCATGCATGAATTTCATGCACCAGGCCTCTAATAAGAAATAATGTGCTCTCACACACTAATGGGGGGAAGGAGTGAGTACACACACATGCAACCACACACACACCTAACATGAAGGCCTCCTGAGGAAGACTCTGGAGCCACAGGGGGTGCGAGGGCAGGAGGGATGGTCAACACTGCTGGTGCCTGAACTTCTCAGTCCTTCCTAAGCAGCATGCAGGTGGGCCTGGCAGGTGGCTTTCCCAGCAGCAGGGCTGCTGGTCCCGGCCATTAGCCTGTTGTGATAGGGTGCAAACCCTAACTCACTGCCTAGAGATTATGGGGTTTATTCTTTGTTGTTATGAGCCCTGAGAAAAGAGGAGACATCTCTTCCATCCAATTTGGCAATTTTGGGGTTCCAGGTGCACGCCCCTCCAACATTGTGCTCAGCCAAGCCAGGGCACTGCCGACCTCTCCTGTGGGTGATGAGAAGTCAGGTACAAAACACACTCACTAGGGCTCCTCCTGTCTCCAGTGCTCGTGGCTGAGCCGACCGTGGGGATGTGAAGGCTTCCCTTGCAGAGCTCCCTACCTCCCATGCACCCATCCACTCACCCCCCAAGCACGTGGAGTCTGCTAGTCCAGGCATCAGGCTGGGGGCAAACTGGCAACCTGCGAGCTGACACCATGCTTTTAAAATTTTTGAAATGACTCTCAAAGTTTAAAAGTTTGGAAATTGCATCTAAAAATCTGATTTCTGGGTTTCTCTTGGATAATCACTGGGCCATAATCCCATATGACCACATCCAAATGGAGTTGAACACTGGCAACCCCTTGCATGTGTGACACAGGCCTCACCACTCCCTATTGTCTCCCTGATCCAGTTGTTCCACTCTCCCCCTCCCCTTGCTGGCTCCTGTAAGCAGTCTAGTTTTTGATCCCTGTTGTAGGTGAATAATAACAAAAACTGATATGTATTTAGCACTTAGCATGTGCCGGGCTCTGTTCTAAGTATGTTGCACATATCCACCCATTTCAGCCTCACAAAAACAATGACGTAGACACTGTTATCTATTATCATGCCTGTTCACTGAAGGAATGCTCGCCGAAGGCCTCCACCTGCCAGGCATGCCCCGATCTGGCAATGAAGATGCAGCTGGGAAACAGACAGACAGATCCTCCATCCACGGAGCTCTCGTTCCCGGGAGGGGACAGACAGACAGCACATGGGATAAGTAAAGAGGAAGCCAGAAGGTGTGTGGGGGAGGGAGCAAAATAAAGCAGGATGAACAGTCTGGGGGTGCTGAGGGGTGGGGGCGGGCTGTGCAATTGCAAATAGAGTGGGCGGTATAGGCCTTGCTGAGGGGACAGTTCAGGAAGCCAGGAAGGAGGGGAGGGGCTCGGAGACGAGCGTTCAGGCAGAGAAAGGTTCCAAAACGTCACCTCAGGTCACACAGCTAATAAATTGCCAAGTTGGGATTTGAGCCCAGGCGTTCTGCTGAGCTTGGCCCCTGCACCGAGGCTCAGTGAAAGATGAGACCCTCTGAGTTAGGGGAGTTAGGGCGGGGGACAGGCTGGGACATCCTGGCGCTGAGAGCTGGAGTTGGGGGTGGGGAGCGATGAGCCAGGGGCAGCGGGCAAGACCTTGGCCCAAGGCTTGGGCCCTGAAGGGTCTGACCTCCACCTTGTCCTCCCAGAGGCCAGAATGGACTCAGCACCTGCGGTCAGCTCTCTACTTTAATCTCAGGGGGGTTCTGGGAGCTCGCCTGCCTCCCCTCCCAGGTCTGGGGCCCTCCTCCCTCCAAGTACTGGGGCGAACCTGCAGCAAATCCTCCTAATCCGCCGGGCTCTCCGTGGGTCTGTGTCCAGCGGCAGCCTGAGACCTCGCCGCTCCCTCCCACCCACGCACCCACCCACCCACGCGGCAGCAGCAGCGCCGGCCCAGCCGCCTCGCCCATGGGGAACAGCAGGAGCGGGGCCCTGTCCCGGGAGATCCTGGAGGAGCTGCAGCTGAGCACCCAGTTCACGCAGGAGGAGCTGTGCGCCTGGTACCAGTCCTTCCTCAGGGAGTGCCCGGGCGGCCGCATCACGCGGCAGCAGTTCCAGGGCATCTACGCCAAGTTCTTCCCGGACGCCGACCCCAAGGCCTACGCGGAGCACGTGTTCCGCAGCTTCGACGCCAACAGCGACGGCACCCTGGACTTCAAGGAGTACGTGGTCGCCCTGCACATGACCACGGCCGGCCGGCCCAGCCAGAAGCTCGAGTGGGCCTTCTCGCTCTACGACGTGGACGGCAACGGGGCCATCAGCAAGAGCGAAGTGCTGGAGATCGTCATGGTCAGTCTGCACCCCCCACCCCTTGCAGGGCTGGGGTCACCCAGGTCAGGGCGCAGCTGGGGGAGGGGCTGGAGGGGGCGTAGGGGCCCAGGCTTTGTGACCCAATGGTGTGAGAGCGTGGTGAGGGGTCTCTCATATACTGAGATTAATGAAAGGCTGGGCATTTTCCCACAGCTTCGTTTCCCTCCTAAAAAGAATCTGGGTATTTCCTATGATTTCCTTTTTTTCCCCCCTTCCATCCTTCCTTCTTTCCTTCCTTCCTCCCTCCTTCCTTCTTTCCTCTGTTCATTAAAATATCCTTCAACACCTTCAACTGTGCATGCTCAGATTCCCTGACATGTTTCAGATGCACAATAGGAGGAGGTGGGGAGGGAGTGAGACCTGGGTTCCGGTTCTGCTGGTCTTCATGGCCCTTCCCCGGAGCCCCGGCTCCCTCATCCCATGCTCAGGCCCCTGGGAGGCCAGTGCCTGTCACACCCATTCTCCACCCCTGTCCCAACCAGCCTGGGAGCACATCGCTTGTGACGATTTTAGGCATCTTGGAAATAGTCTTATTTTATGTAAAAGTAATCCGTAAAATTTAGAAACATAAGCAAAAGAAAGTTAAAATTACCTTTAATTCATCATCCAGAGAAAATGGTCAACGCATCAGTATATACATTTCTAGTCTTTTAGCTTTATATTTTAAACTAAGTTTAGAGCTATGAAATATTCATATAGGATTTTTATACTTTTTTCAGTTACTATTTTATGATGAATGTTCATAACAGTATACATTCTTCCAAGCCATATTTAATAGCTGCTTAGAATTTCATCTATGGAAATGTCATAAAATTATTTAACCATTCCTAAATTTGGGACAGTTAGGATGTTTCTATTTGCCCTATTATATTATGTATATTTACCTTCATTTAGTATCTTTTTACCTGATCTTTTTTATCCCTCTACCTCATGCCACTTGCTGTATTTTTCTAATGGCATTCCCGTTAAGAGGGAGACTGTTTTCATGGTTTTTATACTTTCGATGCATTTGTAACCCTGCTTTCATTCGCACAGCTCTTCCTCCCTCATTAGGTGACACCATGAGTTCAATAGCTGAGCATGCAGCTTGTGGTCAAGGGCAGGCATGTGTGGGAACCTCACTGGGCAGGGCCTTCGGATCAAACGTCTCTGAATTGGCAGTTGGCATGGGATGGAGACCACATCCTCAGAACCACCTAAAGGACGCCAGGCCCAGCAGAGGCCTATAAGTTGGTGCTTCTTGAGAAAAAGGAGGAGGAATGGGGGAGGGTGGGAGGAAGGGAGGAAGGGAGAAAGGGTGGGGAGGAAAATCCATGGCTGAGGCTGTGCAAGGTGGTGCCAAGGCCCTGCCACTCACCAGATCACTACGTCACTAGCCTTGAAGCCAGAAATAAGAGATTCTTGTCCCAGCTATGCCACCAACTAGCTTCATGGCCTTGGAAAACCATATAACCTTCCAGGGCCCAAGGTGAGCATCCGATGGTTCTTTCTCGGTTCTTTCACTGAGGCCTTGGCTGTAGACAGCCTGTTCTTGGTGTTGGAAGCAGGATGGGGCAGGCAGCCAGTTACTCCCAGCATTTAGCCACCCAGCCTGCACGTGGTTCCCATGGCTCAGGACAGAGAGAGGAGCCAACGGAGTCACCTCCCCTCTGGCTGCTGGGCGCCTGCCAGCTGAGGCTGCTGGCTTGATTCCTTGCTCCTTGCTGTAGCGGGGGAGAGTAGGGGGTCGCTGTAAGGGCACTTCTCAGCATGTTGACCTCCCCTCCAGGCTAATTTATAGGCATTACTGCCCCTGCCTGGCTGTGCTTCCAGGTCTCCAAGATGCCCTTCCTACTGCCACCCAACATGTCGCCTGCACCCGAGCCTGCCCCCAGCTGGTGGAATCCTAGTGACCTAGAGCTGGGTGGGCTGCTCGAGACCACCTGTCCCTCTCCCTGACCACAGGGGCAGAGGCACTTCCTGCTTTGCCCCCATCACACATGCGCACATCCGGCTCCTTTGTTAGTGAGCGTGGAGGGAGGAGTGAAGTCTCCTAGAGTCTAAAGCTCAACCTCCCTCTGGGTCCCTTCCTGGGTGGAAGGGTAACTGAGGGTCTTCCCGGGCCCTGGGGAGGCCTTTGGGAAGCCTGCTGAGGCCTCCCCTCTCCCTCCCCAGCCATTGGAATGCTCTCCGAGGCATCAGCTGGCGAGTGGCACAAGGCAAACTAAACCCAAAGCACCTGGCTAGAAGCTCTGCTCATCTGCTTCCAGCTGCGTGACACTCAGCAAGTTAATAGGCTCGGTTTCTTCATCTGTAAAATGGGGGCCACGAATGCACACCTCACAAGTCTGGGAAGGTTGCATATAAAATGCTCAGAAAAATGGCACATGCTAGGCGCTCAGCAAATGTTAGCCCTTGCTAGGCCTTGTATCACATGGACCTGGGAGAAGCTGTTAGATTTTCTAAAATTTCTAGGCAGTAGGCTCAAGGGAGTGGTTCCCGAACTGCAGCCTCGGGCTGCCATGGGATGACACCAGGAAGCTTTTTCCATTTTTTTTTTTTTTAAATAAAATGAAAGTCATATGTCTGCATGGTCAGGAAATGCAAACAGTACAGAAAGGGACAAATAAGAAGCGAAAGCCTTCCTCCCCCCTCCCCCAGGCTCCCCATCCAGCTGAAGGTCTCAGAAACACAGGTGCCCGCCCAGGAGCTCTGATTGACAGGACGGCCAGCCAGGCCTGGGACCTGCACTCCATCCCAGGGCTGCAGCCTCCGCTGCTCCTTCTGACAAGCCGTTCCTCTTGCTTCCGTGCAGGCGATATTCAAGATGATCAATCCCGAGGATGCCAAGCACCTGCCAGACGACGAGAACACCCCTGAGAAGCGAGCCGACAAGATCTGGGGCTTCTTTGGAAAGAAAGATGACGGTGAATGCCTTCGCCCGTGTGGCCTTCGCTTTACAGTCTGTTTCCGGCTGATCCCGCCAACATGTAGCCTTCCCAGCGCCAGTGCCCAGGGGGACGGGGACACCTCGGGGTGCACTGCAGGGCTGGCTGGGGCCTCGGGGAGTGGACAGAGGCTGCAGGTCCAGCCCTGCTCCCCATGGAGCTGCCACTGCGTTGGGGATGGCGCCCCATCCCTGGCTTATAGGGCCCCTGGTTGCCTGATGGGGAGAAGGAAGGCTCCAAGGGTGGGGGCTTCTGAAGAAAACAGCTTTGGTTAAAACAGCCACATTGAAGCAATAGGAAGAAGTAAAGGCAACAGCACCTTAGACGTTTGTACGCAGACGCCAAGTTTAGAGGGATTCCAAGCACTTTCTGTTAGAGAGGGGTGCCTGTCAGACACTGGGGTTTGCTTCGCTTGTTTTCCAAAACACTTTCTAAGAGTTAGAGCAAACTTTAGCCCAGTCTGGGTCGGAATTAGCATGAGGTCCCAAGTAAGCGGGATCTCAGTTCTATGGTTTCCCTGAGGAAGTTAACTTGGGTCCTGGAGAAGCTGACCCAAGTGGACGTCACAGGAGGTGGCGGTGGGTGTGGGGGCCTGCCGTATTCCTCCTGCCAGGCGGTGTGTGTGTCCTTCCCTGTGCCCACATGGGGCGAGGCCTGGCTCCGGAACTCGGCTTTGATGGTGGGGGTTCCAAGCTCTTTGTGAGGCTGACAGGGCAGCTAGGACTTTACATTTCCCCACCTAGACCTGCAGGGAACCTGCCTGGGTCCTAATCCAGGATTAAGATTATGGGTGTTCAAAAGGCCTGGAACATAAGCTAATGGGCGTGCAGTTCGGTTCAGCCACCGACTACGTGCAGGCAGCTCTGAGCATACGCATGATCTGAAAGAGCACCGTCTCCTTTTAGAGTTATTTCTACATGTGACTGTCTTCCCCAGCACACCAAGGGACCAGGGACTTTACCTCACTTCCCTCTATGCCACACCCTGCCCTCCACCCTCTGAAGTGACCTCAGCCCCAAGCACGGTGGCTCTGGCTCAGAGGAACAGCTAGTGGAGAGCACTGAACTGGACAGAACTGAACCCGGAGGCTGGGCGAGGCGCTCTCCTGGTCCCACAGGGGAGGGGGATGGGAGATGCAGAGATGCAGAGGGCAGAGTCGTGGAGGAGCTGTCAGCTGAGAATCTGGGGCCTCTTCACAAGCCAGGCTCTCCCTGGCACTCCCCCTGGACCCCTCAACTTTCACGCCCTTCTCTAGAGTGGATGCTGTTCCCTCCTTCTCAACTGAAACTGTTTGCTCTGCTCCAGGCCCCCAAAATTCTTCCAGAACGTGAGGCTCAGACCTAGTGTAATACTCAAGATACTTAATAACCAGCAAGGCAGGGCATTGCCAATCAGAAGAGAAGCGTAACTAAAGTGCACCCTGGGCCCGTCAGTAGTGCCAGCCATTAACCCTCTCCTTGCTGGTTCAGGGGGAGGTGCAGGTTGGGTATCTGGGGCAGGGGTGGGAGTACCCTGGGGGCGCTAAGACGCAAGGTTTTCATGATGGACACATCTGCACAGGGCATGCTGGCGGGTGTCAGCCTTGCGGCAGCTTGAAACAGCCAGTCCTGACTGTGGTATTTTCTCCCATCTGCAGATAAACTTACAGAGGAAGAGTTCATCGAGGGGACCTTGGCCAATAAGGAAATTCTACGGCTGATCCAATTTGAGCCTCAAAAAGTGAAGGAAAGGTTAAAGGAAAAGGAAAAGAACCCCTGATGCCAACTGCTCAGCTCTCCTGCCTCCCCTTACCACTCACATAAGCACACGAATGCACACGCGTGCGCACACACACGCACACGTGCTCACAAACACACCCCAGCGGCCAAGAGAGAGGCCTCCAAACCCACAGCACAGCTCCCACCAAACGGAAGTGTCTTTAGCATCTGCTGGTTCCTACTTCCCTGTCTTTAGAGCCCTCCCATGACGCCGCCTCCCCACCCCTGCCCACCAGCCCAGGCCTCCCATGATAATCCCAGGATTAGGTCACAAGAGTCCTAAATATCACCCCTGTGTAAGCTCCTTTGTGGATTGCTGGGTAAGCAGGTTCCAATAAATGCAAGAGTTGCTGGACACACAGCCCCTGGTTGTTCTTGAACTGGAAACAGAAATGATTTGTGTGGCCTCGGCCGCCAAGGCAAGAATGTGTTGCCATTGCAGTGGTTACCAGGGCGCTGGGACTCCGTTGTGAAGAAGGTGGACATGGACATGGCCCTGTTCTCGCAGGGCTCAGGGTGCAGAGGGGACTGCAGACCTGGAAGCAGCCATGACCAGTGGGAGGTTACCATGGCAACGTGCGAAGGACTGCGAGCTATAACAGGAGGGTCTTCCTCCTCCCGGGGATCAGAGAAGGTGTTCTTGGTGGGGGGAAGGGTGGGGTGGGGAAGCACTGTGTCTCACAGAGACTCTCTAACACAGGAATGAGCATTTCCTGTGGAGGCCAGGGTAGCTGAGAGCAGAGAGAGGAGGGACAGCCAATGGGGAGTTAAGGCTGAAAGGTAGGCGGGGCCAGACCATAGCAGGCCTTCCCTACAGCCCAGGGAGGCAGTGAGCTTCACTGGGGAGAGTGGGTACCACGGTGGGGTTTGGGATAAGAGGGTTCTATGCTTGGAAGGGCTCCCTCTGGCAGAGTGAGACTGAATCAGAGGGGCAAGGCTGGGGGCAGGGGGCTGGAGATGACACCTTGGAGTTGCCTAGGTCCGTGGTCAGCAAACTGCGGCTCGCGAGCCACATGCGGCTCTTCGGCCCTTTGAGTGTGGCTCTTCCTAAGCCTTAGGAGTACCCTAATTAAGTTAATAACAATGTACCTACCTATATAGTTTAAGTTTAAAAACTTTGGCTCTCAAAAGAAATTTCACTCGTTGTATTGTTGATATTTGGCTCTGTTGACTAATGAGTTTGCCGACCACTGGCCAAGTGACCTGGGCTGGGGAACAGCAGTGGGATGGAGAGAATGGGGTGGCTCTGGAGGTGTTCGGGAGGTGGAATCCACCTGATGGGCTGCAGGTGGAGGAGAGAGGAGCAAGGATGACAGTCAGGTGTGGGCTTGGGTGCTGGGTGAATAGTGATGCCACCTGCTGAGATGGGAAGTGGGGAGAGTCACTGGCCTCAGGGGATAATGACAAGTTCCGTGTTGCTATGGAGGAGGTGCCTCACTGTAGAGAAAGGGAGAGGAGCCCAGATAGCAGGCAGCTAATGAGCCGAGGCCAGGCCAAGGCTGCCAGCGGCCCACATTGTCTCCTCGGAGCTCCAAGGACTGGGACACCCCAGAAATCACTCCACCAGGGGGTTCTCAGATCACTGGAGTCATTGTTTTGAAGGCCAATGTAGTCTGCAGCTGTAAGTTCCAAGATGAGGCCAGAAAATAGACAGATGTCCCGGACACTTGACCGACCTGTATGCAACCCCCTGAAGCAGGGGGGTCCCCACTTGCTGGTGCTAGAGGTGACTCCTGCTCCGCCCCACCCCCAGCTTTAGCCCAGCGATGGCACCGTCACCACCGCCGAGAGTGCTGCTTTTTGTGGAGGGTGAACTTGAGAGTAACCCTAACACTTCGGTTTGGAGGCAGGCACCCCTGCTAGATGCTCAAAAGGGTATAGATGGGAACACTGAAGCCACAAAGTGAGAGGAGGATTTGGCACTTAAACCAGCATCCCTTCCATTGCACGAGGCTGCCTCAATTGTTTTGACCTGGAGATGATAGGACCGAGAATTCTGATTCCCACAGTGTTGAAGGCAGATGGGGCTACACAGCATCTGGTCCAGCAGTTCTTGGAGAAGGACAGTTATTAGAATCATCTGCCAAAACACCCCTCCGGTATCAGACACAGTGGGCCACCCAGGGGCCAATTCAAGGGGAGTAGAAAGACCTTGGGTGTACCCCAGGGTGGTCTCGGGATAGAGCCAAAGGGCTCAATGCCTCACTCCAGAGCTCCTTCCCCACCCCACATACCGCCCTCCATGAATGAATTTGATTGGTTGGGATGGGAAGGTGCGGGCTTTTCACTTCTCTCTGAGGTCAGGGCATCCATGTCCCCTGAGTCTAAAATGATAGACACTGCCTAATGACCTTGTTGGCCTGTGGTTCAATGAGAGACATAAAGGGGCCACTGGGCCGCCTACTGGCCGGTGGAGAACCCAAGACTAGTGACCTAATTAGCACATCTTCTGTTAGCTTGGGTGGCATGGGGAAGATGCTTACAGAACCCAGAATCAGTGGCAAGTCCAACTTAAGAGAAGGAGGTAGAGGTGGTGATGAACTCTGTCATCAAGATTCTCCCAGATGCAAAGGACAGAAGATCCAACGTGCATTGTCATGGCACAAATAGGAATTTACTGACTCATGTAACAGGAATGCCAGGAGGAGCACTAGCAGTAGGTCTTGCTCAGTCCAGGGACTCCAGAAATGTTTCAGAGTTCCTTCTCCATCTCCTGCATCTGCTTTCTGCTGTGGTGGCCCCACTCTCAGGCAGGCTTTACCCCAGGCTGGCCAGATGGCCATCCAGCGGGCTTCATGCTTCTAATTTCAGCCGAAAAGAGAAAATGCCTTTCTATAGTGAGTCTTAGTCAAAATCCCAGGACTGTGTCTGATTGGTTATGTGCCCATCCCTGATCCAGTATCTGGTGCCAGGAGAAAGACATGCTCAGATTAGACAGGCATATTTTCATGTCCATCCTTAGGGCTGAGGATGGAGTTGGGACAATTCAGCTTCAGGGACCGGGAGTGGGAGATGTATGGTTTCCAAGAGGAAAATTCGGGTGCTTTTAGTACAAGAGGGATGGAGTATAGAAACAGAAGTCACCTCACTTCTGAGTTTCTGCTTCCTCCAGTACATGTGCACTCCAGGGCAGAATGGGTCTCATCACAATAACCCAAACTGCCCTGCCCCCTGTTACCACCTGCTCTCGCAGGATCCCAGCCTCTCGTGCAGTGCCCTTCAGCTCCAGTGAGAAACAAATGTAAAAGAATCAACAAAATACAAACCAAATAAACCTGTTATTTTATTTTTTTTTAAATATATTTTATTGATTTTCTACAAAGAAGAAGGGAGAGGGATAGAGAGTTAGAAACATTGATGAAAGAGAAACATCAATCAGCTGCCTCCTACACACCTCCTACTGGGGATGTGCCCGCAACCAAGGTACATGCCCTTGACCGGAATCAAACCTGGGACCTTTCAGTCCACAGGCTGATGCTCTATCCACTGAGCCAAACCGGTTAGGGCACCTGTTATTTTAATTATTAGAAAGTAGTGTGTATGTGCCACCCCATTTGTGGAGTGAGGGGTCAAAGACATATTTACAAATGCTATGGAAAAAAACCACTTACTTCTATTAATGACAGAGTCCTGGATAATTGACCCCAGACAGCATCTATCACTTCCGAGACATTTCTGTCTTGTCTCATTAGATGCATGTGTCCCCAGCACCTACCCGGAACCAGGTGTGCTAGGTGCAAGCTTGGAATATGACATGGCCCCAGCTTTCTAGGAGCTAGTAGGCTCAAGAGAAAAGGCAGGAATTTGCAGAAAGGAAAAATTAGAAGGACATATGATTTGATGATTGAATTATGGATAATCGGGACACTGGAAAACAAACCGTGGTTATGCACTTGCCTATGCCTTTGCTTCAGTTTCCCCTGTTGCAAAGCAGAGCCAGGACAAGGGTGAGGGCAAGATGAGCAGTGGCCTCAGATACAAAATTTAAGGGGGAGGGGGCAAAAATCCAGTAATCAAAATAAATAACATTTTAATGCAGTAGTTTAAAAATAAAAATGAATGTTAAGAAGTCTACAGTGAGCAATATTAAAATGTTAAATAAAGCCGTGATCCGACCATGCACTTGCATGAGCTGGCCTAACTCTCCTCACTCTCACCTGGGCCCTGGTTTCAATAGAACATTTGTTATAATGGCCTGTGGGCTGTGGTTTGCGGATTTCATTTTTTAAAATATTGCATTAAAATATTCCTGATCTTGACAGTTGAGGATTTTTAGTACTCTCTTAAATTTGACACCCTTGCTTACTCTAGTCCCAGTCCCACTGTAAAGTGTCCTTGAAAATAGGGTTGCCAGGTAAAACACAGGACGCACAATCAGCATGGAATTTTAAATACAATATATGCCACAGGATATACTTATACGGGAAGGTTATTTATCTGGAGTTCAAATTTAATTGAGCATCATGTATTTTCATTTGCTAAATTGGGCAACCCTACTTGAGAAGTAACATAGAGCCCCCCTCTAACACAAGGCAGTATTTAGTCCCATGGCAACATACCCCACCCACATACACATACGTTTTGCACACTATGAAAGAGACATTAACACCCCATTTCCATGGGATGCCCCTCCTTTGATCTTCTTTCAGCTTCTTGCCTTATAGTTTCAGCCACTGAGCCAGACCCGAATTGCCTGGACCCCCCTCAGCCTCCAGAAGCACCCTCTTCTCAAGGTCTGGAGCACAAGTCATTGCTCCAAGCCAGACCGGATCCCACTGTGCCCTCCTGGCATGTCAGATCAGCACAGTCCCATCCCTCCACCAAGCTGTCAGCATCCATTCCCATAGGGCCAGTGGGATTCTTATCAGCAGGGACTAGGGTCAGGGAGAGCAGTGGGCAAGCCTTGAGCACCAGTGTATCAGTGACAACCCAAAAATGGCCGAGAATGGGAGGGCAAGCTAGGCTTGAAGAAGCCACGCTCAGAAGGGTAAAGATGGGTGGAGCCAAAAAGGGAGGAAAGGACCAATGGGGACTTTCAGAGAGACTGGGGCCAACCCTGATAGGAAGGAGGACATTGTTAAGAATCAAACAGAACATCTGCCGACCACAGATGAAGAACTGAGACGGGGGCGGGGGGCAGGGGTGGGGGGGAAGACTGGACAAGGGAGTGAATGGGGTTCTGGGTGGCGTGGGGTTGCACACTGTCTGAGGGGGGTGAGCGGGTCACAGCTGAGCTGTTGAATCCAGGACACCACTGGCTTTGTCCCGCCATTGACCAACTCAGGGGGCTGCTCGCTTCTGCACACTGGGCTTGCATCAGAGTTATCTGGGATGCTTGTTACACGACTCCCAACCCTGGCCATCACTCCAGACGTACTTTCTTAGAATCACCCAGGAGCCCAACTCTGCGTGTAAAACACTTCCCATGTGGTCCTTATACACCCCAAACCCAGATTCAGAGGGAAACCTTCTGCCGTGAGGGATAAAGGAAGAGATACTGGCTGTCCCCTCTTTCACAGCAGACGTTTCTCTGTATCTTGGGGCTCCATTCACTTGAATTTAGGGCCACCCCAGAGGCTGGTGGTCATTCTGGAAAATTCGCCAGTGGAGGTTGTAGATGACGATGGCAGGCAGAAGCAGTGACTGTTTGCACAACCTCATCAGAGCATGAAGAACCTCGAGATAGACTTCATGTCGAAGTGGACCTGGTGCCCGGGAAGAGTGATGACGGCACCCCACAGCACCTGTCGCAGGAGCCCGCCTACATCTCACTCTCCTCCAGAATCTCCTCCATGGTGTGGGCCTGGGTGAAGTCCCCCTCGCTGCTCTCGGACAGGCTGCGGCCCCAGCGCCAGGCTGTGTGGCCCCCGTGGGACCTGGTGCCTGGCTCCCCCAGGCCCTGCGTGGTCAGCGGCAGGAGCTGCCCGCCGCCAGGCGAGGACTGTGACTTCTGCAGCGCCCTGGCGCTGTCTCCCTTGGAGAGCTTCTTGGGGTACTTCCCCAGGAACCGGAAGTTCTTCTCCAGGCCCCAGGCTCTGCAGCCGGAGTGGTGGGCCAGCAGGAAGCGGCCCCAGTGCCTCCGCAGCTCGGCCTTCACCTGCCGGGCGAGAAGAGGGCAGCGTTACTGTCTCAGAGTCATTTGGTCTTGGGTCCATTCACCAAATATTAATGAGAGGCTAACTCCGTGCCACCCTTGGGAAACGTATCAGACTTGGGGAGATGAACAGAGAGGAGTGAACAAATACCCATGAGCCTACACATGGCAGTGACACTGTCAGTCCATTAAGCAGGACCATGGGGGAGGAGTCCATTAAGCAGGACCAAGGAAGGACTGTGCCAAGGTGGCATGTGAGGCCCACCTGATAGGAGAAGATACAGAAGAGGCAGCCATGAGCGAGATGGAGGAGGGTTTGCTATCAAGAAGCTTATATTTCAGTGGGAGGAGACAGAAATGAACATCTAAACCTGGAAAGATGAAAGGGGACTGGAAATACACCAATTCTACTGGAGAACTGTTCAGGAGAAACTGGTCTGGCCTCTGCCCCTGCCCCTTTCAAGACTCTTTCCAGAGGAGCAGAGAGCTGGTTGGGGATACGCAATAATCTATAATGATAAAAGCATAGTATGCAAATCGACCCAATGGATGAACAGCAGAAAGACTGTCAGGACACTGATGACCTTCTGGACAAAGCAGGGGCTGGGAGGGCTGAGGCAGCCGGGGCTGCAAAAGCCTACTCTTGCACAAATTTCGTGCATCGTGCCTCTAGTATTAATAATAAAAACCATCACAGCTATCAGGTATTGGGCCTTTACCATGAGCTTGGCATGCCCAAGACAACATTAGAAGGTAGGGACAGTTATTCTTCCCACTTTACAGATGATGAAACTAAGGCTCAAAGAGCCACAGTAACCTAACTCAGAGCTCCTAAGTGGTGAGTGATGGCTTAAGCCCAGATTTTTGGACTGCCAAGTTCAAGCCTGTTTCCTCTATCACACTAACACTTCCAGCAGGGCCAAGGTTGGGCTCTGAGCTTCCTTACACTCATCCCATCCCCTTTTCCCATTTCTCTCAGCTGCCCCTGCTCTCACCCCTGGAACTCACGGTACAAATGTGTCCCATTGCCTGATGGTCACTGCACACTCCCCATGGCACCATCACATAAACAGGAAACGCTGGGTGGCAGTAGGATGCCAGCCCAGCCTCACCGGAAGCTAGGATGGCAGCATGGAAAACATACCTCTCCATTGACAAAGCAGTACTGCAAGGCCACAAGTAGTCCCTGGAGTGAAAAGAAGAGGCAGCATGAACTTTGATTCGGTCGAAGATGTGTCTGAGTTACTGGGAAAGTCCAAAGGCCTGCCCTGGTCCTAGTAGCCCCTAGGGGAGGCAGGCGACTACACTGCTCACACTAACTAGAGCTAGTCATACCGGCGAACTTGGATTTCCATCAGGTCTCTTCTTACTTTGACACCCACTGCGCGTATCAGCCTAAGTGTTTGCTTAGGTGCTCGTAGGTCAATGATGATTAAGTCCCAAAGACCCTATATCATTCATTCAACTATGCAAATACTGTGCCAGGCCACTGCCCTTTTCTATTTGTCCACAGTAGGCATTAGCTAATTTTTTCTCTTCACTTGAATTCTTTCCTTTTGGAAACTGACCCTCCCCTATTTCCTAGGCTTCTGTTGGGGTCAATCATGGGGCCCCCATGTTCTAGGATGACCATCACCACAATCTAATTAGTCCAAATGGTCATGTGACCCAAGCGAAGCCAATCTGAGTTCTTTTCACTGGGAAAGAAGAGAGGATTGTACTCTCTTCCTAGATTTTCCAGCTTTATAGCCACAGCTTTATATTTCTGGACATCTTGCCAGCTACATGGTGAAAACCCATCTAAGAATGATGCCAACAGGGAAAAAAAGTAGAGGCTGGAGATGGTGGAAGACAGAATTCTGATATTGTCTGAGTATCTGGATCAGCTATGCCTGATTCTGACATTTTTATTTATGTGAGATAGTAAATAGCCCTTTCTCTTGTCAAAATATTTCTTTTGAAGAGATAGATAATGTCACACCAGTGGTTTCTCATCACACTTAGATTAAAATAAAATATAACCACAGAAGGCATTGCAGTGGTTCTCAACCTTCTGGCCCTTTAAATACAGTTCCTCGTGTTGGGACCCAACCATAAAATTATACTTCATAACTGTCATGTTGCTACTGTTATGAATAGTAATGTGAGTATCTCATATGCAGGATGGTCTTAGGCGACCCCTGTGAAAGGGTCGTTCGACCGCCAAAGGGGTCGCGACCCACAGGTTGAGAACCGCTGCATTAAGGTGATCTGGGCTGTGTCTGTGTTACTGGCTTCCCCTCGGCCACTACATTCCAGCCACGCAGGCCTCCTGGCTTCCCCCGGCATCTCAAGCTCATGTATTCATCACCTGTTGCTGTATAACTTCGGGCAGGTGGGGGGGGGGGGGATGTCCAGGCCGAGGGCCGTATCATTTGGTCTGGCCCTGCCAAGGCAATCATAGGTGGGACTTGAAATTCAATAAATCTAGGAGCTTTTTTTCATAGCAACATAATTTTTAAGTTGATAATTTTGCCTGGCTCTCCAATGACGTTATCAATACCCAAATGGCCTTTGGCAGAAAACGGGGTTCCCCGCGCCTGACTTAGTGGATCAAAACAATAAAGATGTACCATCTCACATACTTTCTATGGGCCAAGACTCTGGCGGTGGCTTAGCTGGGCAGTCTGGTTCAGGGTCATTTTTCAGGTTGTCGTCCAGAGGCTGGTTGGAACTTCAGTCATCTGAAGACTTGACTTGCTCCCACGATGGCTCACACGCCAGGCAAGTTGTTGGTAGGAGGCATCAGTGTCTCTCCAGAGAGCGGGTTGGTTGTCCTCATGACATGGCAGCAGGCTTCCCCCGAAGGTGCAATTCAAGGGAGCAAGGCAGAGGCCACATACCTTCATGCCTACATGACTTCAATGGTCACACATGTGAACCTCATTCAGTGTGCGGGAGGACTACACAAAGCCTCCAATACCAGGAGATAAAGATCCTTGGGCGCCATCTTGGAGACCGGCTACCACCTCTGAGTTCTTCCTCAGGTCCCTTCACACTTTTTGTTTTCAGAGTCATTCTTCTTTCAAATCTCTGCCTAACTTACTTCTCAAGCTTCAGGTCTTAGCCCAAATATCATCTAAAAGAGAGGTCTTTCCTAACCACCCAATGTTTGGTGGCCATTCTATATGTTTCACAACGCCAGAATTATACTATTTATTTGTCAATGTGATTATTATTATTATTATCTGTCCTTATTCCCCGCCCCTCCAAACAAGACTAGCATCCTTATCTACTCTTTTCACTGCCAGATCCCCAGCACTTGAAACAAATGCCTGGCACATCATAGGAGCTCACCAATATGTGTTGAGTAAATAAGTGAATGACTGAATGAGTGGATGAATGAATGGGTCGAGTTTCTATAACTTACAACTAAGAGTCTTGCCCTGTACATTGTTGTACCTCTTGTAAACTATGATAGGACCATTTCTTTCTGTCATCTTCCTAGTTATTTAGAATTGTGGGCACAAGGATCACAATGAAAGCAAAAGGAATTTTCAACGATAAAGAATTTGTGTGGGGGAAGTTTCAATAAAGGGAAAATTTTTCTGGATTCACTGCTTAACTGCCAGAGGTCTGCAATCAAAGACGCTTGAGTTAGTTTGTTTCTACTGTTTTTTTCCAGACTCCTGCAATTCCTGATTTGTTCAAGGCACATGTGATAACCTACCTCCCATAGCTTTCCCTGGGACGTGAGGGTCTGTGGGACCCGGGCTGTGTGGCTGATACATGAAGCTGGATAGGCATACAAGACCCAATTACTTGAGGGTTTACAGGAAGAATTTCATGAAATGCCAGAACTCACAAGGAAAAAACACATTCCAACACGAAGGTCATGGTGCAGGCTGACTCCCCCACTTCTCTTAAGAATATTTCTCTCAGCCCTGTTGCTGGTAAGGGAGATTCAGTACTGGTTTTTTTAAAATGATGAATTGAGAAGGAATTATAAAATGTTGCCCTGGGGGAAGATTTTTATGCCTTTCCCCGTGGAAGTCAGAAATCTGGCTGCCGCATCAATCAAATGCTTGGCTTCTCCCCACCCGTGTGGCATTTCTGCCCTCTTATGTGGCTAGATATTCCAAGGCAAAGCTCCTAAACAGGAGCATGGTGGTACCAAGCAACCACTTCACACATGCGATCTCATTGGAGGTTCACAGGTGCCCTGTATAGTTGGCAGGGCCAGTAGTATTTGCCTCTGGGCACGTGATAGTAGAAGGGTGGCTGAGAGCGTGCCGGAATTCTCGTAAACGAGTTAGCTAAAACAGGATTCCACATCACAAACACGTCTTTCATTCCCTCGGGTCCTTGATTCCCTGTTTCAGGAACATCCTGGAGCCTGGTTAACCTGCATTCTAGGTAAAGCAAATGCAAATGGAGAGGTCCCACAGAACATACCTCACCACTGCGTGGCGCTCTCTCCAAAGAGTCCTCGATGGGAGGAAGCTGGTGAAGGTTGCTAGGCAACAAGGCCTTGGAAGAGTGAAAGACCCTCCAAAGGAGCAAGAAAAGGAAGCTATTAGATCCCACGTTGATTCCTGATGATTCACCACAATATGTACCAGGATGTATGTAAGCACCCACGCACCTGCCCACCCACATGCTCCCCTCTTCCTGGCGGGGTGGAGGGGAACAGTGCAGGGTATTCAGAAGGTGGGACGCCTCTGACTACGCACAGGCCTCCAAGCGTGTTTTCTGGCTCAGGCCGCCGAGTCACTCCGATTGGTCACATTCCTCAGTGTTGCATGGTGGTGAGCAGAGCACTACGTGGCTGTGGAACCAAAGGATCCAGTGTGGTAGCTGGTCTCCAGAGGTGGCCCCAACGATTCCTCCCCTCTCAGTAGGCATATGCTCATCCTCACATCAAGAGGTGGGTGGACCTTATTTTTCCCTTGGATCTGGGATTAGCTTGTGACTTTTTCTACCAATACCATGTGGTAAAAGTGATATTCTGGGGCTTCCGAGCCCGTGCCTCAAGAACGTTGGAAGTTTCTTATTTCTCTCTCTCAAAACATTTGTTCTTGGGATGCTGCAAGGGTCCAGCTGCCACGGTGGGAGATGCCCACGTTGCATGGAGAGGCCACATGGAGGAGAACTGCAACTCTCTAATGGATAGCTTCAGCTGAGCTCAGCCAACCGCCCAGGTCAATGTCCAGTCATGCGATAGAGCCATCTTGGAGGTTCCAGCCCAATTGAGCCTTCAGATGTTTGCAGCCCCAGCCAAATATCACACGTATCAAAAGGACCAGCCTGCTGAGTCCAGATGGCCCAGCTCATAGAATCATTAAAGATAATAATATGATTACTGTTTTAAGCCAGGAAGTTTTGTAGGAGTTCGTTGCATAGCAATAGATGATCCAAACACGCTCCCTTGCCAGGAAGGTACGATAGGCTAGAATTCCTTCTCAGAAATCTGTCCTTTAGGGGGGAAAATGGCCACCAAATACTAATGAGATAACAGCTGCAGCTTTTTATTGTGTTTTTTTTCTCATTTAGAATTACCCTTTAAAGAAGATTAAGCCCAAACAACATAGGAAGCCCAAATTACTAAACCTTAGCTATTGAAATTTCCCAAAGGACTGACATAAATGAAACATGGTTTCATGATAAAAAATAGTTATTGATTATTTTTCAGTTCAAAGCTACACAAAATTCAGCTCTAAAAGGAGCCACTGTCCAACTGCTCTGACCCCGCCTCAGGCTCTGTCCCCTGGGCCTTTCATGAGCGTGCAGGGGGCAGGCACACGTCTCCACTCTGTCCACAGAATCGCAGCACCTGCCCCTGTCTGCGGGCACATCTTTAAGAATCCGATATAGGGAATTGGGCGTCTCCTGTTTCCGACCCTCATGGGCACCTGAGGGGCATGATGGCATAATAGTTACAAGCAAGGTCTTAACCTCACTGCATACAAATCTCATATTTGTCACTTATTAGTATTTGCAAGTTCTCTGAGTCTGAGTTCCTTCATTTTGAAAATGGTATAATAATTTCTCCCTCACAAGATAATGTGAGGATCCAATGAGATTGAAAGCATTTGGGAGTAAACAGATATTTTCAAGTGTACCATTTTAATGCCTGTGCTGGCATCCTTACTATATTCTTTGTCTTATTTTCCTAGTGTTTGTACCAAAGATTACAATATGCATCTTAACTTATCATAATCTATTTCATATTAATACTCACAATTCTGGCAAAATATAGAAACTTTCCTTCAATACAGCTCCATTTCCTCCTTGTTCTTTTGTGCTACTATTGTCATAACATATTAGATCTTTATACGATACAGTTTAAAAAAAAATAATAGAATTTATAATTATTTTTTGCAATCTTATGCCTTTAAAATCAGCTCAATAAAGAAGAAAATATATATTTATATCTTTCACATTTAGCTATGTGTTTACCTATTTCTTCTTGTGGATTTGCATTATTGACTAATGTCATTTTCTTCCAGCCTGACAGATGTCCCATGGTACTTCTCTTAAGGGGGGTTTGCTAGCAATAAGTTATCTGAGTCTTTATTTATGTCTTTATTTTACCTTAAGTTTGAAATAATCTTGCTAAATATAGAATCCTTGATTAAATTATTTTTCATGCAGCATTTTGATTATGTCATCTCACTGCTTTCTGGCCTCCATTGTTTCCGATCATAGTCAGCGGTAATTGTATTGTTGGTCCCCATATGCAATGAGTCATTTTTCTCTTGTTACTTTCATTTTTGTTTTGTTAATCCTCACACGAGGATATTTTTTCCATTGCTTTTTCATAGAGAGTGGAAGGGAGGAGAAAGAGAGAGAGAGAGAGAGAGAGAAAGAGAGAGAGGGAGAGAGGGAGAGAGAGAGAGAGAGAGAGAGAGAGAGAGAGAGAGAGAGAGAGAGAGAGAGAAGGATGGATGTGAGAGAGACACATCAACCGGTTGCCTCCCACTCACTCCCCACCCAGGATGGGGAGCAAATCCAAAACCCAGGTACCTGACCTTGACTGTCAATCAAGCCTGGAACCCTTTGGTGTGCAGGCAGATGCTCCAACCACTTAGAAACACTAGCCAGGGCTCTCTTGTTAGTTTCAGGATTTTCTCTTTGTATTTGGCTTCCAAAAGTTTAACTATAATGTTTCTAGATGTGAATCTCTTTGCTTTATCCTATTTGAAGCTTGTTGAGTTTCCTGGATGCCTAGATTAAAGTTTTTCATCAAACTTGGGAAGTTTTCAACCATTTTTTTCTCCAAATGATTTTTCTACTTTTTCTTATCTCCCTTCTCCTTTTGGGACTCCTCTATGTGTATGTTGATTTTCTTGATGGCACTCTACAGATATCTGAAGCTCTATTATTTTTCTTCATTCTTTTTGTTTGTTTGTTTCTCAGACTGGCTAATTGTAACTGAACTTTCTTCAAGTTCATTGATGCTTTCTTCTGCCACCTTAATCTGATACTGAGCCTCTCTGCCCTACCTAGGATCACAGCCTCAGTCTGTGACATTGTTTTTCCTTGTTCTTTTGCTACTAAGACCATTACTGTATCTGACAAGGCCCAGGAGTATGGGCTTTTTATGCTCTCTGATCCATATTAAGTCAGGCGTTTCTTCAATGAAGCTGATAGTTTTCACTAGAATTTGCTAATTGATGGAGGAAGGGTTGGAAGACAAGAACTGTCTCTGAAAAAAACACACACATAGATTCCGATTGCTCTTACTCAAGTAAGTTCAGTAATTCTTCTTGAATAAACTCTTCTCAGTCTTTTGTGTGCCTTTGGTTGATTTCCAGGGTCCTGAAATGGATGTTGTTGACAATTTTGCCCAATTTTATATTTGCTTCTTGCAGATAAGGACTTGCTGAGCTCCTCTCTTGTCCATTCTGAAAATCCTGCTCCTATACTAGCATTTTGAGATCATTAATTCTAACATTACTACTGTACAGGACCTTTTGTGTGTCCACACTGTTTGTGGTAGTCTTTTGCATTAGTGGCCTTTGCTGATGAGCCATGCCTCCCAGTTTTCATGGCACGTTCAGTCTCCTCCGCTTCAGTCCAGGTTGGGTCTATGACTTGCTTTAAATAGTAGAATTCATTACTAGTATCACTATGTGACTTCCAGGCCCGGGCATTTAGAAGGCCTGAAAGCTCCTGATTTTGTGCCCTGGGGAGCCCTGAACTTCCATGTAGAAGTTCAGCTCCCCTGCCAGAGAAACCATGGAGAGGGGACGTGCGACAAGTGCAAGGCTTTAGGACTGTATGGGACTGAGGGATGTAGTTGGCAGTGAGAAATAAAGCCCCAGAACCTTCACCCAAATAAGGCCGCTCTGGCCAGCCCTAGCCATTCGAGCCTTTCCAGCTTAGGCTCCAGACATCTGAGTGGAAAAGCCGTCTGGGAACTTCCTGCCACCCTGGCAGGCATCATGTGGATCCGAGATGAACCATCCTTGTTATGTCCTACCTGGATTTCAGACCCCCAGAATCATGAGAATGATAGTTACTGTCATTTCGAACTGCTGAGTAATGGATAACAATTCAAGCAATGAGTAATTAAAATACCAACCTCCCATCTCACATACTAATGCTTCCCAGGTAAATTAACCACAGCTGGCCTCCTGTTTCTTGTTTCAACCCCCACACATCTGTCAAGGTTCAAGAGCCTCCTGGTCTCAACTCATTGGTCTCTACCTATGTTTTTTGTGTTCTGAGTACATCACCTGAAGTATACACAACAATCATTTTGTACAATGTTCTGCAGAGGACCCAGCAAAAATAGCCACTTAATAAAAGGTTTCACGTTGACACTCACAGTTAATATGATCATGAGTCACACCAACTATTACCTCCCAGGAAACAGGCCATTTTTCCCTTCTTAGTCACCACATCATGCTAGCAGGATCAAGGCAACACCTCCATCTACATACCCTTCTATGGCCAAAGGCCCTCACTGATAAAGCCTGCTGATTCCAGAACTTTTATTTCCATCTGTGGGCTTTCTCAATTTTGAGTCTGTTTGGATCAAGGGCATTTTGTTTTCTACAAGTCCAAGGCATCCTGGTTCAGACGCCTACTTACATGGAAGGAGCTCAGAGTCAACTGGATGAAGAGTCGTACAAGTCTTGAAAATCCTTGAACTTGATCATCAGTGACAAAAGAGAAGAGAATCTCGTGAACGCCCAATAAAGGGATGAGAACCAGCGTTGATTTTGCCAACCTGTAACGACAACCAAATTACTATCCATGAGGGCCCCATTGGGAATAGGCAACATTTCCTGCTCTTCTGTGCATGCCTTTATTGTAGCTGTTATCATATTAATAAACAGTTGATTTTCCAGTTTGTTTTCTTGGCTACACATTGACTGCCTTAAGGGCCAGTGTGATCTTGTTCATTGGTGCATCTGAACACTTGGCTCATGGCAGATGCACAGCAGAAAACATGAATTGAATGAATGAATGAATGAATTCCCCTATATGGATTATGACACACCTACAGATATATCTACATTTTGCCTGATGGATAGATTGCCATGCACACAGCTATCACCCTGGGCCCTACACCTCTACTAGCTTTGACAAATGTCCTATTACCTGGCTAGCTGGCGGTGCCTCTGTCTCTTTCTCTATTCAGGACTTCTGATGTCAGTGCTTTCCTGGGTCACAGAACCACTAAGCCCCAAAAACCTGCCTCGAAGCAGGGCTTCTGACTTCACACTCAGGCCCTGCTCACTCCACGCAGCTCCACCCCAGTCCCCATGCTGCCCCGGAACCCCGGTGACGCCGAGGAAATGAGAAACTGATCCTCCTCGTAAAAAGTGCAGTGCGGAAGCTCCCTGTTGTATAAACCGTACACGAAAAAGACAAACATTCCTTTGTACCACCCACGTGCAAAGCGCACAGCTGGGGCCCAACCTCCCATCTCACATACCGGTGCTTTCCAAACTCGGCTATTTGACTATTAGAAGTCCCTGCAGAGCTATGTCTGTACACATCCTTCTGGTCCCAGGGACGGGGCTCTGAAGCAAGACCTCTGGAGTCTGGGTCCCGGGAATGTGAATTTTTCAGGAGCCACCTTTGGAAATAACTGCTCTTTACCACTGAGCCGCTTCTTGATGTAAAGCTGACTACATTAGCACTGTGATTCATATTCAGGGCACAAAGAAAGCTACTGTTTTATACCTACGGGGGGCAAAGAGCTCAACTGTAATGATTTTTTTAGCCCAACTCCCTTTCTTAAAGGTCTAGACTAGGAGATTTCCCCAAACCCCATGGAATTAAAGATGTAGGACCATGGAGGATCGGCAGCAGCTAATGGGCAGTGTCTGCCAGAAGGTATATCTCTGCTCAAGAGAGAACAGTGCTTACCATGATTCCTGTGTCTCTGAGAGCCGTTCAAATGCAATGTCATCAAGGAAACAACACCGCTCTCCTTTGTGCCCTAAAAGCACCTAAAGCCAGTATGAGCTGAGCAGGAGTCACCCAGAAAGAGAGACCCCACCCAGGCGCCTGGACTGGGTGTCCCTCGGGGTTGACCATCAAGAGCAGCCAAGGATGCCCTGACCGGTTTGGCTCAGTGGATGGAGCGTTGGCCTGGGGACTGAAGGGTCCCAGGTTCGATTCCGGTCAAGGGCATGTACCTTGGTTGCGGGCACATCCCCAGTGGGGGTGTATGCCCCAGGCAGCTGATCGATGTTTCTCTCTCATTGATGTTTCTAACTCTCTATCCCTCTCCCTTCCTCTCTGTAAAGAAATCAATAAAAATATTTTAAAAAGAAAAGAAAAAGAGCTGCCAAGGAGTGGGAGCCTGAGACACAGGCCTGGTTATGTGGTTGGCCTGTGCCACGCTCACATGCTCTGCTACCCACAGGTCCACCCACACGGCACACACTGAGCTAAGCAAACAGGAAGGTCTCCCACGGAGAGACCATTTCAAGAGTTTTTTATTGTTGTTGTTTAGAATTTCCAGGAGGGCTTTAAAGCCCTCTCGCTCAGAGGTTGCACAGTGGCAACATGAGCTGTAGGAAGTGATTTTTGTTACTGAAGCCACCTTTAATTGGTAAGGAGACTTTAGCAATGCTGTCCAGATTTCCAGCTTCTTCTGAAAAAATGGGGCGATCGGGCCCAAATGCCTGCCCGGCAATCGTCAGCTACAGCCTGGTGGTGGCTGTCCCTTTAGAGGGAACATGCTTACCACCCCCCAACCTGCCTGCTGGGCCCTCACAAGTGTTTGAGTTTGCGACCCTTGCTCTGGACCCCTCAGACCCCTGTCTTACCATCAACTTATTCTTAGGGGCTTCTAGGGCACTATGGGGTTTTTTGTATCTTTATTGTTGAAAGTATTACAGATGTCCCCTCTCTTTCCCCATGAAGCCCCTCCACCCCATCCCCACCCCAGCATTATATTTTTAAATAAAGTTTTTATTTCAGAATAATTTTACATGTGGAGAAAGGTAGCCAAGATAGTGCAGAAAGTTCCCGGATACCCTTCACTCCGTGTCCCCTAATGTTCAGATCTTACAGAAATCACATATGTTTGTCAAAACTGAGAAACCCACATGGGTAGGTGACTAATAACTATAGTCCAGACTTTACTAGGATTTCAGCAGCTTTTCTGCTAGTGTTTTTTTCATAACAGGATCCAATCCAAGACCTCCCATTTAGCATGGGATGGTTTCTAAAGAATGACCACATTTCATAAAGTTCTGGAGTGTTTTAGTAACCCCCACTTCTTGGGATGGGTGTCGCCCCACCTCATTCTAACTTCTCCTTAGGCAAAGTACTATTTGTGTTCCTGTTCAGATAAAAATCCATAAATATTTATAGCAGTTTACTCTTATGAACTGGGTTTATGCTTATTTTTCAAATTTAATCATTTGTTTATTTAAATTACTGAGTTTGCCCTGGCCAGTGTGGCTCAGTTGGTTGGTGCCATCCTGTGACTGAAAGGTGGCAGGTTCGATTCTAGTCAGGGCATATGCCCAGGTTGCAGGCTCAATCCCTGGTAGGGGGAGTGCAGGAGGCAGCTGATCAATGTATTGCTCTCACATCCGTGTGTCTCTTTCTCTTCCCTCCTTTCCTCTCTAAAAATCAATTAAAAATCTTTAAAAACAGCCACACCAAATGGCTTAGTTTATTGCAGTCATTTAGCTATTCAATAAATATTTACAGTGGAGAAAGGGGAGCTAGGGTCAAAAGCAGTAGAGTATCTGGGGCCTGGGTTCAAATCCCAATGCTACCAATTGCTAGCAGTGCGGCCTTGGGCAAATTATTTAACCTTTTTATTGGTAAAAATGAGGACTATACAAATACTAATATAATATAAAATATTGAAATAAAAATAAAATGTTACTACTAATAATAACAACTGGAAATGTCATCATAAGGATTAACACATGGTAAACCCTCCAAATAAATGGTATTTGCTACATAATGAATGATCACTAAAATTTAGCTATCCCTATATTTAAAGAAGCCCTCCCTGCCCTCAAGCTGTTTACAACCTCAATGACTTTGATCAATTTTACTTCCATTTGTGATATTTTTCATCTTTGCCCACCAGAAAGTCCTTTCAAGAAGGGCTCTGGGGTTTAGCATGTTAAATGATTCTCCTTTGTGAATCCATAAGCGCTCTGCCCCACCCATCACATGGATGGTTAAGATGGTTTATCTAGAGCAGCGGTTCTCAACCTGTGGGTCGCGAACCCTTTGAGGGTCGAACGACCCTTTCACAAGGGTCACCTAAGACCATTGGAAAACACATATATAATTACATATTGTTTCTGTGATTCATCACTATGCTTTAATTATGTTCAATTTGTAACAATGAAATTGAAGGCCACCACAACATGAGGAACTGTAATAAAGGGTCGCGGCATCAGGAAGGTTGAGAACCACTGATCTAGAGGAAGTGAGACACCGCCATGCTGGAACCACCAAGAACAGAGATCACGGACCACGCAGAGGTCTGCGGGTGTCTGTGGGCATCCCAGGGCCTTGCTCGCCTGCAGGTGGGGCCCAGCTGTCCCTCCCAGCCCAGTCTGAGGCTGGTTACAGTTGCCTCCACTTGAGGAACAGAAACTTAGAAACGAGGGCTGGGCCTACAGAAGGTTCCCCAGGTCCTAGCAGCTTGCCTCTTTGGCAAGGTCTAAATGTGTTTAGTTTAAACTTTCCTAAAATAGACTCCTGGAGGGGGATCAATTCTTGAGAGTGACTTCCTGAAAGTTCTCAAAATCTGGGAGAGTTGGAGGTAGGGCATCAGTCAGCCCTGCAAAGTCTCAGCCCCTTGGGCACACTCATTGGTCCCCAGCACAGTCCCAGGTGGAAGCAAACTTGCCAGGATGAGGTGTCTCATCCTGGGAGGCCTCCCGGTAGGCACGAACCCACGTTTCTTGTTTCAAGCTTTTTCCTCACACAAGAGTGGGGAAAGGAAAAAGAAGTTTTCAGACACATTGAGTGCGTCAGGCACAGTTACTCTTTCTCTCCCCAAAATAGCCAGGCCTAAATCACTGCTCAGCCCTGAGGGCCTCCCCAGTATCTTTAGTCCCACTTCCCTCAATCCTTGCTCCCAATGGGGTGACACACTCCAGTGCTGTTAGAAAAAAAAACAGAACTAAAAAAGGTAGTAGAAGTTCTATGTATATTAATTTTTACCTATCCTTTATCCTTTTCTATTTTTTGGTGTATGTTATAATGTACGCAACAGTTCCACAGACCATGTGTATATATGATGAGGGTCATGCTCGCAATTTCTGTACTAATAGAGATGCATGATCAGAAAGGTTTGCAAACCACTGTCTTGGATAACGCTGAAGGAGAGCTTGGAAAGGGGTATCAAGGCTGCTTAGAAACACATTTGCCGTGGCCTGACCGGGCAATCCAGGCCTGGTTTCTCTAGAGCAGTGGTTCTCAACCTGTGGGTCGCGACCCCTTTGGGGGTCGAACGACCCTTTCACAAGGGTCTCCTAAGACCATCGGAAAACACATATATAATTACATATTGTTTTGGGGATTAATCACTATGCTTTAATTATGTTCAATTTGTAACAATGAAATTGGGGGTCACCACAACATGAGGAACTGTATTGAAGGGTCTCGGCATTAGGAAGGGTGAGAACCACTGCTCTAGAGCATCTGATCCGGTGGTCCCCCCTCTGCCTGTGTATCAGAATCTCCTGGAGAAGTCGGCTGTGAAAAGCCCAACGATGGACTCCATCCCTCACTCCCTGAGTCAGAACACTCCGTGGAGGCTCACCAGCCTGTGGTTTTGGCCGAGTGTCAGGAGATGCTTAGCTATTAGATGGAAAGCTATTGGAAGGACTGCTCTGGGCCTGGAGCACGGAGACCAAGTGGTACATAGTGGGCTTTGGGGGCACAACATGACAGGGTTTAGGCGCTCAGCCTTTGTGGAAAGTCTTCGGGAATGCTGTCCTCTGTGGGGTTTCCAGGGTGTTCGTGAGAGAACGGCTCCCCCTGAATGGACCCGCACAGGGGAGACTAGGGCAGCTCTGCTCTTGGCCTGGGGCCTCCCCACTCAGAGAGTGGCGAGAGAGGCTGGGCCTTGGGAAAAGAGCCAAAGCAACTGTCAGCCACTTGGAGGCTCGATCAGAGGCGCCAAGGACAGGGAGGCCCTGTGTGGTCCAGGCCAGCCCAAGTGGCCCAGGGCTGGGGTGTTTGCAAAAGAGTTGGGCCAACTACAGTGTATATTTTCCCAGTCCTGAACCGCGTGTGTTTATTCTTCTGACCTCCTGGGGTGGGTAGCATTCAGGGTTTGAGTCCTGGGCAAATACCACTCACCACATCTGATTAGACTGGGACACCTCTGTCTATGGCCTCCTTTATCCTCATAACGAGGAGGAGGGGGACTTAGTATGGACTCTCACTTTACACACCAGAAAACAGGCCCAGAGAGGCCAAGTGACTTGCCCAAGGTCAGTCAGTGAGTCTGAGGTCATGGCCAGCATCAGCCCTGCTGACTCGAGTTCCACACCAACGTTCCAATCCTTGGCAAGTGAGTGTGTACTCCTCGCTGTCAGGGTCCACATCGTCTTTACCTTTTGTTCCCAGCACAGTTTCAGACACACTGGAGGCATTCGTTAAATGTTTGTCAGGTAAATGGAAAAACTACCTTCCCACACACCTGGGTCAGGCCCCGTTTTGGCCTAGGCGAATGAGAAACAGAGCTATAGCCATCCCCACTCACACCCCCGCCTCTGTCATACCATGTGGACTAGAATCCCTTCTCTGAGAGCTACCTTTTTGAGTTAAAACAGTCCTTTCACAAGAGCCCTGCTGAAGTGGACAAGTCTCATAGACAGTAAAGAGTAACTGGAAAAGGAAGGAGAGATCTTGTTATGCCACCTATTCATTTATTTGTTCCTTCATTTATTCATTCATTTGTATCTGCAGCAATGCAGATTTCAGTACCTGTGAGCTGACTTGCTGTGAACTGGGACTACTGTCACGGTGGAAAGCAGAAGATGGGACACAGCAAAGGCACGTCACAAAGAAAGAGTGACTGTGCACTGAATGCATTTCCTAGGACTTCAAACGTTTGTGGTCTGATATCCCAAGGTTTCAAAAATACCCAACTATTCTCTTCTGAGTTATGAATATGTCTTTTATCCTGTGACCTCAAATCCCTCCCAAAGATAGGTGACTAACTTCCCTTCACGTGGCTCTTCCCTTTCCCTGTAAACCAGCCATTCTTAAGAGCATCTCAACAGTTTCCTACTGGGGGGATGTGTGTGCTCTTGACAACTCACCACTTACTTCATTTTCCTGGGGCCAGAAAGTCCTCACCATTGGCAAAAGCCCTACATGATCCCATGACTCCTTTCTCAGAGGGGTTCTCCCTGACACCCTTGCCTGAGGAGATAAACATACTAATGTAACTCATTCCCTCCCACACCCCCCCAGGCATTGGCCAGAACAGCCAGAGGGGTCACAACAGTCTTAGACTACTCGATACGGACCTCAGGCTACTCACCTGTATCTGTAATCTTTGAAGCACATTTGATGGGCTTTGAGCTTAGAAATGAGAAGTTTAAGAATTTTCAGGAAGATGAAGAAGTTGACCTTGAAAAAAAGCAGACAAGTGTAAGTGATGGAGTCCATGTGGCTATGAATATCGAGGTCACCCTGGGCCTGGCCATCAGATCCCTGTCCAGGTAAACTAGGGGCAACTTGGCAGTCAGCGGTCAGGTAGAAAGAGCTTGCAGTAAACCCCACTCTCCCTAAGGCCACCTCCACCGAAAGCCTGGGAAGGGTCCTGAAACGTCATTTAGTTTATTCTTCTGCCTCAGGAATGCCCACCACTACAGTCGTCCGAGAAAGGCAGAAGGACACGTACATTATCATCATTAACTAATGTTTATTGAGCACTTACCATGCTAGGCATTGGCTAACTATCCAAACATCATTTTATTTAATCCTCACAATAACCCTCTGAGGAAGCCACGCTATTTTTATGACACGATACAGTGAGAAAACAGAGGCACAGAGGAGACAAGTGCAATTTCCAAGGTGGCACAGCTGGTAAGTGGCTGAGTCGGTAATTAAATCTAGATTTATCTGATTCCAAACCTCCCTGCACTTAAAAACAACTGCCACAGCCTCCCTTCTGGAAAGAACTCCGGCACTCTTGGTGTCTGGTTTTGAGATCCTGTTGCTGCCCCAGAACTCACTGGAAAGTACATGTTCTCCGCTATCTGGACTACTTCCCACAACTGCGTGACCTAGGAAAAGCCAGCTCTTCATTATCAGCCTTGGTAGAAATTTTAAAATGTGTTTACAGAATTTTTGACGCCTCTCCCATCAAGAGGCTGAGCCTAAGGTCCCCCTTCCCTCTGAGTGTGAGCTACATTTCGTTATTGGCACCTAAAGAAAAAAATATGGTGGAAGTGATGCTATGTGTCTTCTAAGGCTGGGTCCTCAAAAGGATGGCTTCCATCTGCTATCTGTCTGTCTGTCTGTCTATTTATCTACATATTCTCTCTCTCTCTCTCTCTCTCTCTCTCTCTCTCTCTCTCTCTCTCTCTCTCTCTCTCTCAGCTTTAGGACTCTGGGCCAAGCATTCCTTCCCCAGCCCCCAAATCCTGGGCCACATGGAATAAAGGCTCTTCCTCCTCAGGGTCTCACAGTAGCAGCATCTCCTGACTCTCACGCCCATCACAGCTTTGGGTCAATCTTGATTCTATGTTTTCCTCCCTAAACGAAGCTTCCCGGGTGTCCCCTCCCTCCTACTAGTGGTGTTAAAACCCAAGGCTATCCCTGGGCTGGCCCGTGGCTGATACGCCTGTATCCCCATCTCAACCGTTTAATCCATAGTTACCAAGCACATGTCTGAAGACCCAGAGAGAAGGAGGCTTGTATACAACCCTGAACTTGGGTCCTGAACCAGAACACAGAGAAGTTTCTAACTTGTTCCTTTTCATTCAGCAGATCCTACTCACAGCTCAGCATCTCCTTCTCAAGGGATCTGGCCCAGGGGCTCTTTCTGAGCCAGAGAATTTGGTGGTGGGGGAGGGGGCATGGTCCTCCACAGCTGCTGAGCTCAGAAGGGAAAACAGGGTAGATGGGGTGGTCCTTACAGCTACACAAAGAAGCATGGGTCCTCGGATGATCCACCAGATTGCCTTATTTCGGTTGTTTACCCAGCATCTACAGCAAAGAGCAGACAGTAGAAGAAGACTTTAAATCCAGGCAAGGTTGAATGCAAAAGCTGCATGACCTCTGGAAAAAGGATGCTCATACTCAAGACTTACCTTCAAGCCATCTTCTCCTGAGGGTGGAAGAGAAGAAGAGAGGACTCACCTTCCTTCCTACAAGTACCGTAGTGTTGACTTTTCTAACCACTAAAGTGCTCCTCGATGCTAAAGCTTGGTGTATATCCTCCTACACCTCTCTCATGTTCATGGAAATATAAATTCTTAATTACTTAAAGGAATTTTTGATGGTGGATTATTTGGAGAAAAAAATGGGATCACATGGGATCATAAGCATTATTCAGCAACAGCCTTAACAATGTGCTATTGAGATTCAGCCCCTAGAAGTCAGAAGATATAGAATTAACATGTTTTCTCAGTAGTCTCATAATATTCCACAATTTAGGTAGGTCACAATTTATTCATTAATTCCTGTATTGATGAATGTTCAGGGTCTTTTTGTTTGATTAGGGGGTTTTGTTTTATTTTTTAAATTGAAATATAATTGCCAGATTAACATTATATTAGTTTCAGGTGTACAACGTGATGATTTACTATATAAATATAGTGAAATTAGAGGCTTCGTGCACAAATTCATGCACGGGTGGGGTCCCTTGGCCTGGGTGGCGATCAGGGCCATTCAGATCCATCTCACTCAGTTCCAATCGGGGCTGATGGAGGCTGACCAGTCAGGGAGGGACTGTGGGAGGTTGACCAGCTGGGGAGGGACCGTGGGAGGGCTCCAGGGTATGTCTGGCTCTCTCACCCAATCCCCAATTGGCCGGACCCCAGCAGCAAGCTAACCTACCAGTCAGAGCACCTTCCCCCTTGTGCATCATAGCGACTGGTCCAACGGTCGACCGAACAGTCGACAGATCGGTCGGACACTTAGCATATTATGCTTTTATTATATAGGATGATCATCACAATAAGTCTAGTTAACCTCCATCACCTCACATGGTTATAATTTTTTTTCTTATAATGAAAACTTTTAAGACTCGCTGTCTTAGCAACATTCAAATACACAATAAAGTTATGTTAACTATAGTCACCATGCTGTACATTACATCCCAGGACTTATTCATTTATAACCAGAATTTTGAATCTTTTGACCACTTCCACCCTTTCCTCTTTGCTTTTTTTCTCCCACTTTGAATTATGATGCAATAACCATTCTTGTACCTGTATGCTTATATACCCAGCTCACGGATAAGGTATGCAGCAAATTTTTGTGTTACTTTCTAATTTGTTCTGGCTAATTTTGTGCTAATTTGCAGGCATAACTTAATAAACTGTAAGGAAAATCTTTGATTATTTTTATCTACATTCCTAGATATATTTTATTTTTAATTTTTTCCTTTTTATTGACTTCATTGGGGTGACACTGGTTAGCAAAATTATACAGGTTTCAGGTGCACACAACACATCATCTGTACACTGTACTGTATATTCAGCACCCCAAGTCAAGTCTCCATCCATCACCATTTATCCCCTCTATACTGTCCTCTACCTACCCCTCACCCCCTGGCAATCACCACACTGTTGTCCATGTCCATGAGTTTTTTCCCTTCATTTTTCTTTTTGCTCAATCCCTCCACCATCTCCCCACCCAGTCCCCCAGTAGGTATATTTTAGATGGCCAAAATGGAAGGGGGTGGGTGGTCTCTGGGAAAAATGATGTGTAGCCTTGCATTTGGGCATATTTGAGAATGACTGGCTCATGGAAGTGAGAAAACAGAAGAACTGCCTACCCTGTGTTCTCCAGCTGCGCACGGGCGATGCCCCAGGGCACAACGAACAGCAGCGGGAAGCCTGGGAGAGAACAGGCAAGTGCAGTTAGTTGCTGGTTGGCCAAACCTGCCTGTCCCCGCCCCAGCCTGATGGGCCAAGCACTGCTGGTTGAATCTGACAAAAGCCCAAACATCATGGCACGGTGGGCTGCGAGGGCTATAGACCTAGCCTGGCATATAGCCCGTCCACTGTCCCACTGTCAGCAAACAAGGAAGCAGAGAGGACACACTTGTCACATGTCACAATGCAGCTTGGAGTCAATTCAGAGACGTTAACCAAAATATTCTGAACTGAAGGCCAAGGTCATTTCCTCTGAATTCTGTGGACTCACATTCCCCAGAAGCTGTGGCAGCAGGGGTTCCAGACCTCATCTGGAAGACTTAGTGTTATGGTTTCTGTCTCCCGCCCCCCACCCCCAAATTAATATGTTGAAGCCATAACCCCAACGTAATAACATCATATTCAGAGATGAGACCTTTGGAGGTAACTGAATTTGGAAGAGGTTGGGGAGGCAGGGGTGTCATCATGATGGGATCAATGTCCTTGTAAGAAGAGACCAGAGAGCTGTGTGCGCTCTCTCTCTCTCTCTCTCTCTCTCTCTCTCTCTCTCTCTCGCTCCCCCCCCACCCCCTACCATGTGAAGACAGCAAGAAGACAGCTGTCTGCAACCCAGAAAGACGGCCCTCGCCAGAACTCAGTCATGCTGGCACCCTGATTCCAAGCTTCCCATCCCCCATAACTGTGAGAAGTAATTGTCCATCATATAAGCCAGGGGTCCTCAAACTATGGCCCGCAGGCCACATGCAAATACAAATATTGTATTTGTTCCTGTTTTGTTTTTTTACTTCAAAATAAGATATGTGCAGTGTGCATAGGAATTTGTTCATAGCTTTTTTTAAAAACTATAGTCCGGCCCTCTGACGGTCTGAGGGTCAGTGAACTGGCCCGCTGTTTAAAAAGTTTGAGGACCCCTGATATAAGCCATGCAGTCTATGGAATTTTGTTATGACGTCCTGAGCAGACTAATACAACTGGGGACAGGGTAGAAGAAATGTCACTATTCTACCAGTGTTTGCATGTGTGCGTTGGGTCTGCGGCACGTTTATGTGTGCGTGTGCATTGCTTGCACACTCCAGTTGGGTGTCTAACTCTGACCAAAGGCTCTACTGGGCCCCCATGATCCGAAGAGTCCCCAGAAAAAGAGGCTGGGGGTTCACATGACTCACCCCAACCCACCAGCAGGTACGTGGGCCACAGCCGCCTTTCGGAGAGCACCGTGGGCTCCAGCAGCGTGCGGAGGTACAGGCCTTCCACCAGCAGCCAGGAGTAGTTGGCGCCCACGACGTAGTGCAGCAGAACCTGGGCGGAGCGGCAGGAGGTGGAAATCTGCAGAGGACAGAGCGCCCGCAGCTGGGCCCAGGCTCCCCCAGGTCGGGGCCACAGGAGGGTGAAGGGTCTCCCTGAGCAGAACCCCTCCCTCCTGGCTCCCCTCTCTCCCTCTCAGACAGGTGACCACAATACCAAAATGTGCAGGAGGGCTTCATGTGGGTTTCAAACCCTAGCCTTTTCCTTGACACTTGAGACACTTTTAGACAAACAAAAACAGAGGAATCTCATCAGCAACTTCCCTAAAGGAAACTAAAGGGTTTATTCTCTGATCTCAGTTCAATTCAGCTAGACATCAACAACCAAAAAATCTGCATATGATCGAAAATGAGGAAATGAACTTTTAAATAACTCATGAATCAAAGGAGAAATGATAACAGAGATTAGAACTTCCTTCTGAACTGAATGAAAGGAAAATACTGCATATCAAAATGTGTGCTATGCAGCTAATTCCACACTCAGAATGAAACGTGTAGCCTTAAATGCATTAATTTAAGCAAAAAGCTGAAAATCAATTACCTTAAATATTATGTCAGAAAAAGAACAGCAAATAAACCTAATGAAAGCACATAAAAAAAATAATAAAGATGGAAGTGGAAATTAATGAAATAGAGAACATAAAATAAAGAGAATCAATAATGCCAAAAGTTCAGTTTTTGGAAAATCTAATAAAACTGAGTCAAAGACAAGAAAGGGGACAGAGGAAGAGAGTGAAACTAAAGTGATCAATATCCGAACGGAAGAAAAGAACACCACTACAGATGCAACAGACCTTTAAAGACCTCAGGAAGCTATGGACAATATTATGCCAATAAATTTAAAATATTAGATGAAGTAGCCCTGACCGGTTTGGCTCAGTGGATAGAGCGTCGGCCTTCGGACTAAAGGGTCCCGGGTTCAATTCCAGTCAAGGGCATGTACCTTGGTTGCGGGCACATCCCCAGTGGGGGGTGTGCAGGAGACAGCTGATCAATGTTTCTAACTCTCTCTCCCTCTCCCCTCCGCCCTGTAAAAAATCAATAAAATATATTTTAAAAAAATAAATAAAAATAAAATAAAATATTAGATGAAGTAGACAAATTCCTAGAAAAACATAAATTTTACCTTGTGACACCAGAAGAAATAGAAAATGTAAGTATGAGACATAATTAGTTTATAATTAAAAGCCTCCCAATAAACAAAACTCTGGGCCCACATGGCTTCACTGGTGTAATCTAGCACACATTTAAGGAAGAAATAATAGCGGTCTTCAATCAACTCTTCCAGAGACTAGAGAAAGAGGGAACAAGTCCGATTTAAGAGGTCAGCATAAACTTTATCCAAAAGCTTAACAAAGGCATTACAATAAAAGAAAATTACTCACGAATGTAGGTGAGAAAGGCTAAACCAAAGACAGTATTAGCCATCGGGATCCAGCCATAGAAAAGGAAGAATGGTGTGTCAGATCCTAGTTGGGTTCATTCCAGGAATGCAGTTAGTTTGACAGGCTACTGCGTTTGTCATTAACAGGATAAAGGAAAAACCATGTCCACAGATGCAGATTTCAATGTGGAAAAGCTTTGCTGCTTTAATAAAAATAATAAAAATAGCCCTCGCCTGTTTGACTCAGTGAATAGAGCATCAGCCCACGGACTGAAAAGTCCCGGGTTCGATTCTGGTCAAGGCCAAGTATTTTGGTTGCAGGTCCCCCGGACCCTGATGGGAGTGCGTGTAGGAGGCAACCTATCGATGCGTCTCTCTCACATTGATATTTCCGTCTCTCCTTCTCCCTTCCACTCTCTCTAAAAATCAATGGAAAATATCCTTGGGTGAGGGTTAACAACAACAACAACAAAACAGTAATCATAAAAAAGATGGATCTGGCTTCATTCTTCTTGTATGTACAGACGAAGACATTTCCCACCCCAGGGTTGTTCAGCAGCCCCACAGTGAAGTTTCTGCTGCTGATTCTCTTTACCCTGCCCCACTCTCAGAGGTGATGCCTGTGTGGCCCCCTTTATCTCCCTCCCCCCTCTCCAGCCCCCCTCCCTGCCCTCTGACCCAGCACGGACCCACCCGGTGGAGGACATACCTCGGACATGTAGGACACCCACTCCCTCTCGGTGTCGGGCCTCCTGGAGTAAGAGTTGTGGAAGACGATGTCCTTCCCCAGCACGGCCAGGGCTTTCAGGACGAAGGAAGCAAACAGGTTCATGTGGATGTAGTTGCGGGTGCAGTGGAGCTTTCTGTGCGGGAGGAAACCGCGTTCCTTCTCTTAGGAAAGGCGGTGGCGGCCAACAGGTTGTGCCTGAAACACTGCGTAACACCTACAGGTTGGAGGCTCGGTGGAGGCTCCAGAGCGGGCTGGCTGGGAGACGTGACCTTACTGCTCTGCGACTCATTTTCCTCAACTGCGATGCGAGGATAATGAGAGCTAACACCTTTATAACATGGCCCACATATGCCGCTACGTCCCAAGCCATTTACAGTGAGTGCCTGTGGGTACCCTTGCTCCTTCCAACCTCTGAAGGAGTAGGTACCATTATTGCCCTGATTTTACTACTGGGGAGATCATGGCAGGAAGGTTAAGTCACTTGTCCAAAGTCCCAGAGCAGTAAGTGGTAGAGCTGAGATTTGAACCCGGAAACTCTGAGGCTATAACATACGGCTCTCCCAGGCTCTGCGGCCTGAATGAACAAGGAGTGCTTGCCTCCCAGGGCTGCGGGAGGGTTCAGGCAGTTCCTGGGTGAGAAGTGCTCACACAGGCACTCACTTAGGCACAGAACAAGCGCCCAGAAATGGTCAGCTCTCCTTGCCTCCGCCTCGCCCACCTGGAGCCTCCCGCAGCTCCGCCTTGCCCTGGCTGATGAAAGCTGCATCACTCGCTCTCACAGCCCCGCCTGGGCCCCTGGGCGGCACATGCCTTGCTTTAGAGCTATTCGTCTTTTCTAATTTTGAAGGCAGATTTGAAGCAGGTCCTTGCACTTCAGCATGTATGCATCCTTCTCCCTAGCTAGACTGGGGACTACTCCAGGGCAGGGACGGGGCCTTACTCTACCCAGTGCCTGAGACAAACGGACACTCGGTTGACCCGGGTTCTGCTGAATTTACTCCCTGCGGCGCCGGGCAGCGCCTTTCTCCTGGCTCGGGTCTGAGACTTTGGGAAGGTGAGTGGAGGCGGTCACCCGCAGCAGCGGGCCCGGGCTGTGCGATTCTCCTGTTGTTCAGGAACTGCTCTCCCTGGAGCAGAAAGTCGTTACCCTGCTCCAGGAGCCAGCGACCTCCCTGAGGTTAAGGGCCAGGGAGGGCCAGACCTGGGCGTGGAGAGCCGAGGAGGGGAGCTGCTCTGGAACTGGCATCCAGGTCTCCAAGGTCCCCATCAGGTCTCCTGCTTCCGTGCCAAACTCTCCTTCTGCCCTGTCATGTGCTCAGTGATGTTCCCGAAAGGGCTGAACGGAAAGAGCCTGAGAGGGCTCCCCTGTGGCTCTGTAAATGTCTCACTCGGGGAATTTTTAAAAACGTGATTTAATAAAATGCACGGAGGCTTGGGTTCTGACAGAGAGTATTAGGGAGTGAAAATGCTGAGGCGCTGGACTGCCTGGTTGTGGTCGTGGCTCCATCGCTCACCAGCTGTGCGATCTTGGGCCAGTTCCTCGACCTCTCCATAGTTCAGTAACTCACTTACAAAACGGGGTAATAACAGCGCTCATCCCCTAGCATCAGAACTCAGCTTGATTCAGATCAGGATGAGATTTAAACGACTCAGCGCATGTAACATGCTTAGGACAGCGCCTGGGCACCAGGAAACACAGCTAATTGGAGCCTGAAATCCCATCTCTAGCCCTCATTCATCTGCTTAGGGGACCTTTCTTAATCTCTGCTGTAAAAATAATGCCTCTGGCAGCGCTGTGGTGAGAACCGGCTGTGGTAGCAATGGGTGTGATTAGGACTTTGGAGCAGGGCCCGGCACACAGGTTATCCAACCCAAAGGAAGCAAAAGCTGAGTTAGGGCCCCAGATTCCAGCTCTCACTGTGCGTGGTGCCTGGGGTGACTCCGTGGCTCTCAGTGGACCTCTGATATTCATCCCCCTTCCTCTGGAAAAGGCATGGGTGGACTAGGAACTCCCTCAGACCCCTTTCCAGCTCTGATGAGCCAGGCCCGCACCCGGCCCACTCTTCTACTGCATTCTAGAGGTAGCCAGTGCGCAAGCTCCAGGGCACACGCCTGAACACACGCCCGCAGGGTTCCACTCACCGAAGAAACAGGAGGAGAGTGAGAGCCAGGAGGAGGGCGACAGTGGAGAGGGAATAGCCCACGGTGTACAATAGCTGCAAGGTGGACAGCAAGGCGTGGTGTTCCACCTGAGCACAGAGGAAGAGCAGCCGTGATCACCAAGCTAGATGGCTATGGTCTCCACCCCTGAGCTCCATGCCCAGACCACCAAGGTTCTAGGCATGCACCCCACCTTGTTGACACCCAAGTAAAGAACTCAGAGGCCACGGCGCCTTGATGAGTAAAGAGCCCACCTTGGGGCTCACCTTCACAGCTGGTCCCACAGGCCAGCATTGGTGCACCAAGAGTCACAGTATCATAGGAGAATTGTGCCAGGACAAGAGGGTACCTTGGGAATTAAGGCAGGATCTTTGCCCCTGGTGTGTTGTGTTGTCCCTAGAGTATAATGGTTCTTCTCTCTCTCTCTCTCTCTCTCTCTCTCTCTCTCTCTCTCTCTCTCTCGGAACCAGGTTTCCAATGGGATGTCTCCTTCCTAAAATAACTTTTCATAGATGACCTCTTAGACAAAGACCTTACAAATCACTGGAATATTTTCTCTGAGTCCCAGGGTAGCCTGATTGTGAAAAGAGGATAATTTACTGGAAATTCTGTTTTGTTAAGTGAGATTTTCCATTGGAATCTCACCTTTTCATTCAGCCTGTCATACATAGCACCATCAAGATGCTGTGGGTTCTTCTACGAAATGTATTTACAAACAAAATCTTGATGGTGTCTCTAAGTAAATTCATTTTTAAATCCCACAGTAAATACTTACTATCTGCTAAATTATGTCTACACTTCTCTGCATATCCCTTTTATTAAAGTAAACTTGATGTACGGTAACCTGCACATGTTTAAAGCCTAAACCTGGATGAATTTGGACATGAATATATCTGTGATGTTATTATTACATTCAAGACAATGAACATTTCCATCACCTCCCAGAAGGTTCTGTGACCCTTTGTGATACCTCTCCTCTCACTGTTCCTGCCATTCCATGTCCCGGCAAGCACTGGTCTGTTTTCTGTCATTATAGGTTAGTTTACATTTTCTAAAATTCTATATAAAACGTAATTTTATGATAGGTACTCTTTTTTGCAAGGCTTATTTCCCTCAGAATAATTATTTTGAAATTCATCCATGTCAGAGCCCATTCCTTGTTTATTGCTGAGTGGCATTCCATTGGGAATGCACCACCATTTATTGGTCCACTCACCTATTAATGGACATTTGGATAGTTTTAAGAATTTGGCTTTTACAAATAAAGTTGCTATAAAAATTTCTGTACAAGTTTTTATATGGACATAGATTTTCATTTCTCTCAGATAAATATCTAGACATAGAATGGTGGAGTAGGATGGTGTATGTTTTAACTTCTTACAAAACTGCCGAGCTGTTTTCTAATTGAGTCGTATCAACTTACATCCCCACCAGCGATGTATGAGAGTTCCAGCTGCTCTAGAGTCTATTAACACTTCATATCATCAGTCTTTTAAATCTTAGCCATTCTAATGGGGGTGTAGCCGTGTCTTATTGTGATTTTAATTTGAACTTCTCGAACGATTGATGATGTTGAGAATAATTTCCGTGCTTATTTTCCATCTGTATATCTTACTTGGTAAAGTATCTGTTCCATCTTTTAAATTGAATTATTTGTCTTAATTGCTCATTGTAAGTGTTCTTTATATAGTCTAGGTATAAATCTCTTGTCAGATTGTGTTTTGCAAGTATTTTCTCTCATTCTGTGGCTTGCCTTTTTTATTTTTTAACAGTGTCTGTAGAAGAGCAGAAGTTTTTTTATATAAAGTCCAAGTTATCAACTTTTTATTTTTCTATCCTATTTTTAAAACCTGTACCAAGGGCCTTAAGATTTTCAGTTATGTTGTTTTTTTTCCTAGAAGTTTAATAGATTAAGCTCTTACATTTAGGTCTGTGATCTATTTCTACTTCATTTGCATTCATGGTGTGAGGTAAGGATAGAAGTTGGTTTTTTATATTCAATTGCTCTGGAACCATATGCTTCTAAGATTATTCTTTCCCCTTTGAATTGCCTTGGCACTTCTGTAAAAAATCAAATTCCTTTATATGTGTGGGTCTGTTTCTGGACTCTATATTCTATTTCATTATTCTGTATATTTATCTTTATGCCAGTGCTGCACTGGCTTGAATACTATAGTTTTATAGCAAGCCTTGAAATCAATTAGTGTTAGTCTTCCACTTTTGTTCTTTCTCAAGTTTGTTTTAGCTATTCTAGATCTTTGCATTTCCATATAAATTTTAGAATCAGCTTGCTATTTTCTACAAAAATTCTGCTGGGATTTTGAATTGGATTACACTGAAACTATGGATCAATTTAGAGTCCATGAACATAGTATGTCCCTCCCTTTAGTTAGATTTTGTTTAAATTTCTTTCCACAGAGCTTTGTAGCTTTCAGTATATAGGTCCTGCTTATCTTTTGTCAAATTCATCCATATGTGTTTTATATTATTAATGCTGCTATAAATGATATTGTTTTCTTAATTTTAATTGCTTATTGTTAGTATATAAAAATACAACTGTTTTTTAAATATTGATCAGTAGTCTGCAACCTTGCTAAGCTCACTTATTAATATCAGTAGGACTTTGTGTAGATTCCTTGGGATTTTCTATAGATGATCATGCTCTCTGTGAATAACATTTTTACTTATTCTTTTCCAAACTCTTTATTTCTATGTATTTCTCTTTCTTGCATTATTGCTCTGGCTATGATCTCCAGTTGAACAGAAGTGGAAAGAGTGAATTTATTATCTTGTTAAAGATCTTAGGGGAAAGAATTTATTTTTTTCACCAATTATATGATGTCAGCTGCAATTTCTTAAAGATGCCCTTTTATATTAATTTCCTGTGGCTGCTGTAACAAATACCACAAATTTGGTGACTCAAAATAACATGATTTATTGTCTTGCAGGCTGGGGTCAGAAGTCTAAAATCAGTTTCCCTCGGCTAAAATCCAAGTGGCAGATTAGCAGTCCCTCTGAAGGCTGCTGTGGGGTTAGCAGAGGCATGAATTCCCCAGCACATCTGGCCCGCTTTTCAGCAGACAAAGTGGGCTCCAAGAACCAGAAAACCAGCAAAAAAAAAAAAGGCATATACTAGTGGTAACAAGCTAAAAAGCTGTGTGTTAAATTGGTTAGACAAAGTGGTTCTCAACCTTCTGGCCCTTTAAATACAGTTCCTCATGTTGTGGCCCAACCATAAAATTATTTTCGTTGCTACTTCATAATTGTAATGTTGCTACTGTTATGAATCGTCATGTAAATATCTGATATGCAGGATGGTCTTAGGCGACCCCTGTGAAAGGGTCGTTCGACCCCCAAAGAGGTCGCAACCCACAGGTTGAGAACCGCTGGGTTAGAACAAGGGGATAGAGATGGGCACCAGCTGGGGCAGTTGGTTTTAACTGCACTCTGTTAGAAAATGTTCCTTAACTCTCCTCTAGATTCAGGGCTCTACCAAACCTGGCTACCTCTCTGGAGGTCTCAGAACACCCAGATAGTCTCCAGCTCACTCTCAGAACCAACTGGAGAATCTGAAGTCACTGAGATACCTTCATAAAATGCTTCGTAAACAGTGTGTAGTATGCACCCGCCAGGGAAATTGGCCTTCTCAAATATTGCTGAAAGAAGGGCAAAACAGTACAACCCCTGTAAGGGGGGTGGGATTTGGCAATATCTGACCAAAGTATATGTGCTTCTACCTTTAATCCAGCAATCCCATTTCTAGGAACCTTCCAAAAGATAGACCCCCATAGCTATGAACCGACATACATACACAAGGTTACTCCAGGCGGCATCATTAGTAACAAAACAATGGGAATAATCCACATGGCCATGGGAGAGTGGCTGAATAGACTACAGTAAGCATATAGAGTGGGGCACTTCGCAGCTGTGAAGTAAAAAAGACAGAGAACCATTTCTGGAAATTGATGTAATTTCCGGGGCACGTTATAAGGGAGAAAAGAAAGATGCAGAATAGGGTATCTGATATACTGCCTTTTGTGCAAGAACAATGGGGAAGTAACATATTAATATATTTGCTTAGTTTGGCACAAAGAAATGTAAAATATATATTACAATTTGATTTTAAAAAGAACTAAAGAAAAAGGAAAGAGAGAAAGGATAAACTAGAAAGTAATAAAAATGGTTACCTATAGGGAATAGGTAGAAACAGGGCTAGAGGCAGTGATGGAAGTAAGATTTCTCTGAATATGCTTTTAAACATTGCCAACACTTTATTTATTTTAAAAAATAGAGACAGAAAAATGAAAAAGGCACTCCACTAGTACTAATAGACACAAATGAATAAAACTGTATATCCAATTAATAACAGGACCACATAGAGAATTTAATTATTTCAAATATTATGAACATAGTACTCTAACCATGGGTTATAGTCTAAGGATATAAAGCACTTCAAAGAAATCTGAAACTTTACCAAATAGGTTAATATTTTTAGTGGAAATTTCAATATTAAGGTTGATACTATTATAAATATGTTTTTATTGATTTTTTTTTAGAGAGAGAAGAAGGGAGAGGGACAGAGAGATAGAAACATCAATGATGAGAGAGACATTGATCAGCTGCCTCCTGCACATCTGCTATCAGGAATCAAGCTTGCAACCCAGGCATGTGCCCTGACCAAGAATCGAACCCAGGACCTCTTGATTCATGGGTTGATGCTCAACCACTGAGCACACCAGCTGGGCTGGTTGAGACTATTTTATGTATATTGCATGATAAGGTAAATAAATAATTATGGTAATGTTATTAGAAAGCAAATTTTCACTGAAAGAAAAAAAGATATAGAATACAAAGTAATAAGGTAAAATCCTAAATGTTAGATTTGAATTAGAATTATCAATATGAAGCCTTGATTTTTTTTTAATGTTTTTTTCGAAGTCTGAACACTAAAGGTTCTAGGACCTTGTAGTAGTGGCAATGAGCACATCTAACACTGAGATCTTGGTTTCAAATACCATTCTTCCACTTAAAGGGCCCAGGATTCTGAAGAAACAGCTGATTTGTGTAAGATGGGCCTGAACCACCTTCTTCTGCCAGAAAATAAGGAAGTGCTCAAAGACTAATAGGATTATAACAAAAGGACTTGAGAGCCAGTTTGATGGGATTTCACTAACTAAATCTAGAAAACATCCTATATAATAAAAGGGTAATATGTATATTGACCCTAAATGCAGAACAACCGGGAATGACTGCTTGCTATGATGCACACTGAGGAACGCCCCCCCCCCCCCCCCCGCTGAGTGCATGAATTTTTGTGCATTGAGCCTCTAGTTTATCATAAAAACGAATAAGTCTAGATAGCCCTGGCCAGTGTGGTTTGGGTAGTTAGAGCATTGTCCTGTGCACCAAAAGAGTGCTGGTTCAATTTCTGGTCAGAGATCATACCTAGGTTGTGAGTTGAATCTCTGTTGGTGGCATGTATGGAAGACAATGTTCCTCTCATAAATCCTCTCTCTCTCTCTCTCTCTCTCTCTCTCTCTCTCTCCCCTCCCCTCTCTCTAAAAATCAGAAAAACATATCCTTGGGTGAGAATTTAAAAAAAAGAATGGGAATAAGTGAATAAAACAATCTCTAAGTCCATAGTGATATTCAAAAAAGGAGGGGAAGGGGAGGAGGTCTTCTTTTCAGGAGACTGCCATCGAGTAAATGTGGAAGGACTGATAGAGCTTGAATCCCCTCAAGCACGCGTCATCAATGGAGGTAGGACACTGATGAAGATGTGTCAGCAACAAGGTAAACAACGGTACCAAAGTAGCTCCTGCCAATTAGTGACTAAATCCAAGAGGAGAAATGTGCCTTTGCAATGGAGAGATCCTGGCCGTCACTACCTACGCTGTGTTAACCTAAAAATAGAAAGGCCTTTCAAAGTGAGATCCAAAGGGTATCTATTCCTGTCGCACTGATCCAGGCAGAAGCCTGAATAATGTTCTAATGAGGAGACAAAGGCAATGGGTACTTGTGAGGAAGGGCAGGTAAACATGGCCAGAGTTGGTTTTGTATTTTGTTCTTTTAAATATTTGAATTTTTTGAAATATGGCCTTTTGCAGAGGGGAGGAGCCAATGCCCTTGTCCTCACTTTTCTAAAGAGAGAAATATTTACTTACTGTCTTGGAAAGTGTTGTTGTCCCTGTCCACTCACTTGGGCCGCTGCAGACCTAAGTCCAGAGGAAGCAGCAGGCATCTCGGACCTGCCGGTGAATTCCTCCCTGAGGCCTGGGTTCCCGGCCTCAGCGGCACATGAGAATCACCCATTTAGCACCAGACCTGGTTCCTAGGCTCCACCACAGACCCGTTGACTCAGAATCGGTGACACCATTTCTTCAGTGTTTATTATGTGCCCACCGTATGCAAAGGCTTTTGTGCATCCCAGTACTAGGCCAAGGACAGGGTGGTGGCATTCAGAGAGAACTACGATTTGGTCATTGTTCTCAAGAAGCTTAGTTCAGGAGGGGAGATAAGAAAGACATACAATTTGTCTAATTCAAGCCACGCAATTAGCACCCGTCTGGTTCCTGGTGAAAGTCAGACAGATGCTTGAGATAAGCTGAATCCAATTCAGCCACAGGTATCATTTTAATACCATTAAGGGGTGTGACCTGTCACATGGTAACACTGTAAAGGAAACATCGAATTTTGTTAACTTAAGTAATACAGTGAAAAAGAGGTTTAGAAAGAATTCCCTGTGGATGAGGATCAAATGGAAGGCTCTTCACGCCTGAGAGGAAGGTGGTACAGACTTGGGAGAGCCCAGGGCACGTAACGCCCACCAGGCTCTACAGTCAGTGAGCCACAGCCCGGGGCAGGGGTGGGGTATGGTGTGCAATCTGCAGTGAGGGCAGAGAATTCAGAAGTGGTTGTGAAATATCTAGAACCCAGGACAGAGGAAAGGGCAAGGAGTCTTCCTTGTCCCCTGCCTCAAAGCTCCTCAGGGTCCGAGCCAACCAGAGCTTCCTGTTGCCCTTGACTCTGCCTTCTCACCACACCCCCAGCCTCCGATCATTCTGCTTCCCTCCACAGGAACCTGCAAATCCAGCCTCCCTCTCCTCTGCACCCCACTGCGTCCTCTCTCTGCCTGGGCTGAGCTCCTGCGATGGCTCCTGCCTGGTCCTCCGCCTCTGCTTCCAGTCTAGCCCCATCCCTGCCTCCCTCTCTGACCTGACAGGGCAATCCTGAAGCCTGCTCGGTGATGTCCCTCCCCTTTTAAACGGTGCTGAATCCTAACTCACTGCGTTGGCATCTCTAGGGACCTCCACCTTGTCCCTGTGCCGCCTGAGACGCTAAGCTCCTGGAAGGCGGTATCTGTCTCCCTCGCTGTTTAGCCCAGTGGCTAGTGCCCAGGAGGCATGTCACGTCTGACTGTCTGAAAGAAGCCCAGATGTGGCCCCAGACCTCTGATTCCCAAGCACCTTTCCCTCTGGCCATGCTGCCCTTTGCTCTTCACTTTGAAGGAAGGTGGGTGGGATGTGTACAAACAGGAGGTGTTTGGGGAGAAGAGCCGTGCCTGGGGGGCTGCAGACTAGAGTCCTGGAAAGAAGATGTGTGGGTGGAAGTCTGAGGCAGGGATTGGCTGTGCGCCCAATGAACATTTGCTGAGCAGCGATGGTGATTCACTGCCCAGTCATGGTGCTGGGCCTGGCGACAGAGGGGTCACTCCTACCCAGTGTGCTGACTAGGGCTCAGGTCCTCTCTGGAGAACCGTATGCCTACTAACAATTGTGTGTCTGTTTACATCCTCACAGCGCTCACGTGCAATAGATCCTACCCCCGGGGATGGATGGGGAGCAAAGTCACAGACAGGTGAAGGGTCTTGGTATGAAGAGCTAGGAATCAAAGAGTCTGGACAGGAAACTGGGCTGTCTGGCCCTTGACCCTCAGCTCAGAATCCGGGGCTCACTGTGTCCCTCAGGCCCATGCCCCGCCTGCTACCACTGAGTCCACTTTCTAAGGAGAAGGCTCCATAACAGAGAGGCAAACGCGGGAGCAGGTCAGAGCGTGATGGGGAGCGGTGGCCACTCTTGCTGGGGTGGCCACAGAAGACTTCGCTTTGAAGGAGACATTGACCTGAAACCTGGATGATAAGAAGGAGAAGCCGCCCGGCTGGCGTGGCTCAGTGGTTGGGCATCGACTCATGAACTAGGAGGTCACGGTTCCATTCCCCGTCCGGGCATGTGCCTGGGTGGCAGGCTCGATCCCCAGCGTGGGGCGTGCAGGAGGCAGCCGATCAGTGATTCTCTGTCATCATTGACGTTTCTCTCTCTCGCTCCCTCTCCCTTCCCTCTGAAATCAATAAAAACATACTTTAAAAAGAAGAAGAGGCCGCAAAAGAGCTGAGGAGAGGTGTTCCAGGGAGAGGGAACAGCAGCAAAATGAGTCCGGAGCAGACAAGCTGAGGGAAGGCTCTCTGTGTGGCCCCTAAAGCCAAGGGGCCATGGAGGGCCCTGGGGCAGGGCAGGGTGGTTGGGCCCCAGGCGTGTTCTCGCTGAGCCAAGGGGACTCACGTTTTTTTGGATGCTGTGGTTCTCAGAGCATTCGGAGTCATCCTGCCAAACTGTGCGGTTCGCCAGCGTCTGCCAAGCGCCTCGAGCCAGGCAGCGTCTGTAGGCCCTTCCCGGGTTCTCTGAAAGTAAACACAGCTCTGGGGGAAAGGTCGGCTCCCTGAGCACGTGGGGAGGCCCGCTCCTCCGAAAAGCCGTGGAAAATCCCAGGGAAATGGGACTTGTACTTCCCCTTGGGGGGCTCATTAGCATCCCTACTGTTTATTTGGGATGGAAAGAAAAACAGGAAGTCTCTACATTTCCTCAGAAGTCCTAACCCAAACTCTTCATCTTCTCCTCAAACCTGCTCCACCCACAGGTCTTCCTGCCTCCGTTGATGGGAAGCCCATCATCTTAGTAGGCTGGCCCCAGCCTGTTTCCTATCTGACATACCTTCATCTGGTCCATGATGTCTCTACCTCCAAACACATCCAGAATCCGACCACTGTTTTTCACCTCCTGCTACCACCCTCACTGGAACCACCCTCGTCTCTCACCTGGATTATTGTGACCCCTTCCAATACTTGTCAGCGCCTCCGCTATCATGGGCCACAGCCAGGCCAGCAGTCAGAATGAGCTTAAACATATGTCAGTCACATCATGGGACGCCTCACTCAAAGTCATCCCAGGGCACTCAGAAAACAGGTCAGAGTGCCAGGGTCTCCCACAGAGTCCTGCAGGGCCCGGCCCCAATGCTCCCTGGCCTAACCTCCTATTACTTCTCTTCCCCCTTCACTCCAGCCACAGAGGCCTCCTTGCTCATCAGACATGCTGCCCAAATAGTGTGCAACTTACACTCATCGACTCCTTCCCTGCTGAACACTCTTCCTCTATTGGCTAAACCCCTCACCTCCTTTAAGTTTTCGCTAAAACATCACCTTGTCATAAAAGCCCATTCCAACCTTCCCATCTCTTTCCCTCCCGTCTTAGTTAAAACACATCACATTCAAATACTCTCTATACTTTACTTGCTTGTGATGTTTCTTGATTATTGCTTGTTGCTGGAATATGAGCCCCACAAGGAGAGGAATTGTATTCTGGTTTTGGTCACTAATATGTCCGAAGCACTGAAAACAATGGCTAGCACACAGTAGGTCTTCAATAACTATTTGTTGAATGAGTGAATGACAATAATGTCACCTGACATGGTGTTCCACATCAGCCATAATTTCTCTGTGCTGGGGAGGCACAGACAAATGAGACACAGCTCCAAGTCAAGCAGGTGGAGGAGATGTGCACATACAAGTGTCACCAAGCACTGTAAAAGCTGAAGAAACTAAGAGGCCTCAGAAAGGCGGGAAAATTTGGAAAAATTTTCTAGAAGGATGAAAGCTTCAAGCTGAGGATTAAAGTTGGGTTTATAGACAGAAGAGTGTGGGCAAAGGCAGTGGGTGGGACTGGCTGTGCAGGTGTAGGGGGCTGGGAGTTGTTTATTTGGCTGGAGTGGAGACGGGAGAAAATGCTAGAGAGGTCAGCAGGGCCATGCGGCGGAAGGTCTTGAGCACCATTTAGTGGTGTTGGTGATGAGCCAGCATAATCCAATGTGCATTTTAGAAAACTCTGTGAAGGTGGTTGGAAGGGGACCGGACCTGAGGCTGGGACCAGTGAGGATGGGGGAGCAATAGCGGAGAGCAAAGATGAGCAGTGGAGGGTGGAGGGGGAGAGGGGCCAGGGGACTTGGCTACTAGCCAGATGAGGGATGTTAGGGGGGCCAGGTGGAATGGGGGATGTTTTTCTCTCCTCTATTTCCCACTCCTCTCTGTCCCTCCATACTCACTTCCCCTGATGACAAGTCTTGACTGTTCTACCACCGATATTTTTAAAACTCTTTCCTGTTCTCTCCAATCTCCTGCCTTTTGCCTGAACCTCTACCCTCACCGTCTCTTTTTCTGAGCCACTGAAGTAGCTTTGCCTCCCTGACCCCCTCCATGCCTCAGTCCAACAGCCACAGGCTACCAACATCATCTCCCCACACCACACATCTCATGTCCTTCTCATGCCTTCACACCTTCGGCAGCTCCACATAATCTTCTCTACAGAGGAAAGTTTAAAACCTTAGCATAACATACAGGTTCCTGCTTCATCCTCAGCTTTATATGCCCTTACAGCCTGTGCCCACTGTTTCAGCCTGTATCCACCACCACTCGGGCTCCCTTCTCATAGTACAATGCTCCCCTTCTGATCTTACCTCACAGGAATGCTTGTCCATCCTACTTCTCTAAGCCCCTCTGCTGGCTCCAGTTTCCTTTTACTGCAAGAACCCGTTTGGATTCTTAAGATTTAACGCACAAAAGGTTGAGTGGAAAAGCAACTTCCACCTTCTGCGAGTCACATTCCCCTTAGCACATTCTAGAAGCCCACAACTCATTTTTTTAAGCCTTAACTCCACTTCTTTGTAAGTTTGAGTTTGTGATCATTTTTTTCTCTTCAAGTGAATGGACCTCTGTTTCTAGCTCTCGGGAAGGAACAGGCAGATGGTGGAGCTGGTGGTGGTGGTCTGTTCCACGTGCCCTTGAGGAGACCACCCACAATTGGGGCCCTAAAGACGTGGAGGGGACCAAAGAGCTGGACTCAGTCTCAGCCTCAGCTCCCATTGACGAAGCACCTACTGTGTGACTGACTCGGTGCGTGCCTTCTCACTTATTCCTCAGGATGAACTTAGGAGTTGGCTATTACAGACAAAACCACAGTCGGAGGTCTCTGGCAATCTGTCAAAAGCCTGAGTGTAGAATAGAGGGAGGGGATCTAAGCTTAGAGCTCCTGACTCCCTGTGCTCTTCACTCATCACTGAGCTGAACCCTCTGGTCCAGCAAGCTCTCCAGCGTCTTTCCTTTCACCTTCCCTGGGCTGATTCCAGAGGACAGTTTCATGAGCACTCCCACCCAGAAATGCGTCTTCCTTGAAAACTCTCTCTTGCCCTAACCAGTTTGGCTCAGGGGATAGAGCATCAGCCTGCGGCCTGAAGGGTCCCAGGTTCTATTCCGGTCAAGGGCATGTACCTTGGTTGTGGGCACATCCCCAGTAGGAGGTGTGCAGGAGGCAGCTGATCAATGTTTCTCTCTCATCGCTGTTTCTAACTCTCTATCCCTCTCCCTTCCTCTCTGTAAAAAATCAATAAAATATATTTTTAAAAACAAACAAACAACAACAACAAAAAACCCTCTCTCTTTTCACCAGAAGCCTCAAAAAGTTGAAACCAAATTTTAACTGATGCGACCATTTCCTGGGCTGACATTCAGTACAAAATATCACCATCTCGCCTTCTCAGAAACCCATTCTCACTTTGTGTTGCCTGGAATTTTGTAACTGCTTATGTTTCTTGAGAACAGTCCTCAAGATTTCACGTGTTCTTAGATTTGTCCATGGTCTTCGGTCAAAGGCTATAGAATTCTAACCAGTCATTGTTCCTCCCTCCTTCTGGTGAAACAGCCAAGGAGCTGCTTGGTGGGGCAGGTAGGGCGGGATAGCATCCTGAAGTCCTAAATGATAATCACTTCCTTGAAGCAGGACCAGGGCAAGCTGAGGGTTAAACTCTCCATCCAAGTCCCATGAGGCTTAAAAACACCAGTTCCATAGCACTTCCTCCCCATGCTATTGCCAGGGTGGTTTTGACGTTTGACAAGCCGAGGTTGCATGGCTGTGAGCATCCCACCTTTCTCCCCCACCTCTTTCTCCTCTGCAGGGTAGTGACAATTCTGACCCTCACTGCAGCACATTCTGTGGAAGCCAGGCCTGGAACCTATCATTTCAAAGAAAAGAGGACTAGTATGTTAACAGAACATCCAGCACAGAACTGCAGGAAGATACGAGAAGCAGAGAGAAGAAGGAACCTGTATCACTGACAGGAAACCTTAGAAGGAAACCTTTTATGGGAGAAGAAGACTTGAGGAAAGCAGTTGGTTGCAGCCCTTTCTCTCTCTGCTCCCTGGCTGGTCTGCCAGGAGGGACCAGCCTTTAAGGAAACGGTCAGGAATTGGTGAAATGCGACATTACCTTCACTCCACCCAGGTAAGTATGAAGGGCAGGGAACGGAGACGTTTCCCGGAGAAGAATGAGGCCAGCATACATACCGATCAAAGGTTCCGTTACAAAATACGCCTGCAGAGAGAAGAAGGGGACAATGAACTGCGGTGCGGGAGCCTCAGGCCACTGATGGAGAGAGAGGCACTGGGAGACGAGAGCCCGCCTTCCTGGCCTCAGAAGCTGTGGTCACCTGCACAGGGGCCAGCATGGGCATCCCCCTCTCCAGAAAGGTCAAGGATGAGGAACAATATGCAGGCAGGATGCTTCATGCAGCCAAGCACTGTGGCTTTGTCTAGCCAACCTGACCTCTGGCAGTGGTCTCATCAGTTACGTCAATGTGTACGTCACGCTGGCTTTGGTTTACTTTACATGAACTGACTCTCACAGACGCTCCGGGTCAGGAGGACACTGGGAGATCCTTATGTTCCATAACTTACTAAATACTTGTCAAGCCTTCACCAGTTAGATCCTGGAACACCCTTACTGTGACATGTGCCAAAGGACCGGTAGATATAAGGGCATCTGCAGAACTGAAGGCTTTTGTCAATCATACTTCTCCATTTGAATACTAATCTGTAGATTACTATGAAATATGTGGGCCATGTCAGGCTCACGGGATGATGTACATCGCAGTGCTTGGTGATGAGAGGCGACAAACAGAAGCCTCAGACTCATAGGCCTCCCAGAATCAATTGAAGGGGTTTCAGGGTGGACCCCAAATGTCTATTTTGCAGGCTCCTCATTTCTGAGAACCAAGCACCATCCCCCACCATCTGCTCCTGACTAGGCTAGATCTCAGGGTGGACAGCCAGGGCTGCGGGATCCTGCGAGCGCAGATCTGCCAGGTATGAGCTGGCGCAGGCACCTCGCGGACAAGGCTGCCAGGGGTCAGCACCCCATCTGTGTGAGGCGGTGCTGAGCGGCTCAGAGCGTGGCTCCAGGTGGAGAGCACCTGCTCCGCTTTGACCTCGGAAAGCGGTGCTCCCCAAAGGGAGATGCTTCCTGTAACAGGTCGAGCCTCGCCTGCTGCCTGCCTGGGCTGATGGAGTCAGTCCAGGGAGAAGCCGGTGGCTTGCAGGTCGGCACTGCCTTTGGGTCAGGAAAATGGACAGAGAGTTTCCAGTGTCTGTCAACCTCCAGGGCCTGAATGACATGATCTGCAGGAAGCCCAGAAAACAAGGAGCTTTCAGCCACACTCCCCGGCGCTCAGAAGCAGCGAGCCAAGGCTCCTTATTCTTTTTATTTTTCTTACAACAAAAATCTGGACACACCCCAAGAGTCAGTATGTGGGCAGGAGAGGCCGTGGACTGACCAAGCTACTAGCAAATTTGCCAGAGTGCTCTGAACCCGGTGCAGACCTAGATAAAAGAAATGCTGTGATTCAGTTACCACCCGAGACTGAGGACCCCCAGTCCACCCAGAACACACTCAGTAGAGTCCTTGGTTAATCTCTGACAGTTGCCCAAGTTTTGTGATTGGGTGGTGAGTGTGCTGTGTCAGATGGCTTTTATCAAAGATGCCACAAGTGTATGTGTCCCATCTCACATGCTCTTTTACTATGAGAGGTATGTGTGTGTGTGTGTGTGGGGGGGGGTCCTCCCCTGGAACTGTGTAAGCCTTTGTGACCGTCTGACCAACTGAGTGTGGCAGAAGGGACTTCTGAAGTTGGGTCATAAAATGAGACCTGACCTGTGGTCATACGTGCCCTTGGGACCCAGCCAATGTGCTGTGCGGAAGCCCAGGCCACACGAAGAGGGCACGTGGAAGTTTTCTGGCCCACATTCCCAGCTCAACTCTCAGCTGAGAGCTGGCATCAACCCGCAGACATGGGTGTGAACAAAACTTGAGATGATTTCACCCCAGCCTCTGAGTCTTCCAACCACACTCCAGACATTGTAGACCAGAACCAAGCCATCCCCAATGTGCTCGGTCTGAGACATAGCAACTGATTATTCTTATTGTTTAAAGACACTAAGCTTTGGGACCATTTGTTACACAGCCATAAATAACTAATACGTGTGCTTACCGGAAGGTTGTTTGAGTAAGTCTCTCAGGCACTTCTCTCTGTACTGAGCCCACTTTCGAGTTGTCTCCTCAAGGAGAGATCCTGTAACCTGAGCAGAAAACACTGTGTTGACCCCTATCTAGCTGCAAGCACAGAGGTGGCCTTGTCATCGTCTCATACCATGATTCTCAAACCTTCCTGCTGAAGTGCCCACCGTGGCCTGCACCAAGAAATAGAATTTGTTTGGCATCTTATGTCCTATTTAAAAGATACATATGGCCCTGACTAGTTTGTCTCAGTGGCTAGAGTGTCAGCCTGTGGACTGAGGAGTCCCAGGTTCGATTCCGGTCAAGGGCATGTACCTTGGTTGCGGGCACATCCCCAGTAGGGGCTGTGCAGGAGGCAGCTGATCGATGTTTCTCTCTCATGGATGTTTCTAACTCTCTATCCCTCTCCCTTCCTCTCTGTAAAAAATCAATAAAATATATTTTAAAAAAATAATAAAAAATAAAAGATACATATGAATTTTACATTTACTCCATAATCTAATCATGGTGGTTTTAATACAACTATGAAAAGTTTTTTTTTCAAAGTCTTTAAGAGAGGCTTACATTTCCAGAGGATGCAATATGCTCATCCTGAATTTTCATACCCTACCAGACAAATAGTTGCCTGCTTCGAAGACCATGCAGGTGTCAAAGAGAGGGGCGGCACATGAAGAGGGCTCAATCGTGTGTCAGAGAAGGGCCAGAGGACTTGCAGGGGTCTGCACCCCAGGCTCAGTATCCACCTCACCCCCCCCCCCAGCCCACCTCAGTGCCTGTGGGTCCAGAGTCGAAGACATTGAGCAGATAGAAGCTCTGTTATTGAAGGTTTTGGGATTTTTTTCTTTCTGACATTAAACTATCTCATCCCGTAGAACAGTGATGGCGAACCTATGACATGCGTGTCAGAGGTGACACCCGAACTCATTTTTTGTTTGATTTTTCTTTGTTAAATGGCATTTAAATATATAAAATAAATATCAAAAATATAAATCTTTGTTTTACTATAGTTGTAAATATCAAAACATTTCTATATGTGACACAGCACCAGAGTTAAGTTAGGGTTTTTCAAAATGCTGACATGCTGAGCTCAAAAGGTTCGCCGTCACTGCCTTAGAACCTTAGTTATACAGAATATACTTTTTGGGCCTTCTTGGTGATTGGATTATCTAACAACTTCTAATTGTGTACCACTTCTTTTGGTTTTAAAAGGGGATTTTTCTTCTTCAATTTACTCATTTTTATTGAGTAGTTGTTTTGTTCCAGGTTTTATATCAAGGAGGAATTGAAGGGGATACAAAATGAGTAAGACACTTTCTCTGCCCAAAAGGACTTAGAACAGTGATGGCGAGCCTATGACATGCGTGTCAGAGGTGACACGTGAACTCATTTTTTTGGTTGATTTTTCTTTGTTAAATGGCATTTAAATATATAAAATAAATATCAAAAATATAAATCTTTGTTTTACTATGGCTGCAAATATCAAAACATTTCTATATGTGACACGGCACCAGAGTTAAGTTAGGGTTTTTCAAAATGCTGGCACGCCGAGCTCAAAAGGTTCGCCATCACTGACTTAGAAGCTACTAAAGATAAGACAACCACAGTGGACCCTTGAACAACACGGGCTTAGGGTTCCGACACCACACCCCATGCAGCCAGAAATCCATGCAGAACTTTTGATTTCCCCAAAACTTAGCTGTCCCCTGGTGTCTGCAGAGGACTGGTTCCAGGACCCCCTGCAGATGCCAAACTCTGCAGGTGTTCAAGTCCTCTAAATAAAATGGTGCGGATCAGTGCATATAGCCGGCCCTCCACATCCTCATCTCCAGACTGTGGATCAAAACAGTGCAAATATTTATTTTTTGAATCCACATATAAGTGGATCCATGCAGTTCAAACCCATAGTGTTCAAGGGCCGACTGTATGTATTAGCCGGCATACAAAGTCAAGTGACATTCATACCCTGTCATCCTCTGCTTCCCTAGTGGCTCAGTGCTGGCACCATTGTCGTCTCAGTCACAAACCGGAAACCCGGAGCTGTCCTCTGCTCCTCTCTTCACCTCCACGTTCTGTCCTCCAACATTTCTGTCCAACCCTGCTTCCCATTTCCTCCACCTCTGGCCTGGTGCCACTGTCTCCCCTTCCCACTGTTCCAGCAACAGGTCCGCAGAGCAGACTGAGCACAGAGCTCTCTTGCTTAAAGTCTTGCCCTCCTGGACTTGTTGACTCAAGATTTCACTCAGCCACCCAGTCCCAAGGCTCTCAACCCCAGTCCTGCTCTTTCATGACTTCGCATCTTTGCACTTCCCACAGGCACTCCCTCCACCCTCGTCTTCACCTGGCTCGCTCTCTACTCATCTCTCAAGGTTCCACTCAAGCCTAGTGAGCCCTGGCCATACTTGACCACCTCTCTCACTGAAGTCTTGAGCTGGTAAGCCTTCTTTCCAGTGTTTTTTGACCCCACACATGACTGAGTCCTATGGCCCATCACATTGTACTGCCATCAGGAGGCACCTATCCATCGCTTCCACTACCCCATACATTCTGTGAGGGCTGAGATATGCCTTTCATCTCTGAGTACAAGGCCCTCGCACAGGGCTGGAGTTATTGTCCTCATTCTCCCACTAAAGAAAGAGAGGCACAGTAGTGGGGTGAGGCAGGGCAGGGGGACATGAACATGGAATCTGGGCTAAGATCAACCCGGTAATCAGTTAGTTGGCTTTGAGGCTTTGTCTCCTCTCACGAGGATTACCAAACTCACATGCTGTCTTGGCTGGGTAGATAACCTGAAAGAATGAAGTAGACGGGTGCAACAACAGGGAGTGAGGAGCCATTGTAAATTGGGCAGATACTCCACCTAAAGGTATTCAAACACACACACACACCCTAAACAAAGCAAAACCAACAAGCAAAAAAAAGCACCCATGAAACAAACAAACAAAAACCACAACTCTTATGAGCTTAACCAGTACCCAGTTTTCACCTCCTGAGTAATTAGTCCAATCTATACCCACCCTCTGCCCAGCTTGCCCCGCCCCCAATCTTATAGCATTCATGATCATGTGTGTGAGTAGTTCTTTGCATTTCTTCTAAAGAATCACAGCCAACTTTTTGAAAAATAAATACGGTCATTATTAGGCTAGAGGGTCCCAAACTTTTTCAATTTCTGGTGCCTTTGGTGTCTCAATAATTATTCCAGGGCACCCCTATGCTGAAAGAAGTATCTAAAGTCCCTCTTATTAAGTAGGTAGGTCTAAACAACTTAGTAAGTACTTAAATCCTAACGACTTAGTGCCCACTGGGGATCGCACTGCCTCCCAAACCTAAGACTCAGACTGGACACCACCACCTTTGTTCCACATTGACTTCTGTGCAGTACTTGCTTTTTATCACAGCAACTTCAGAAAACCCAGCTTTGCACAAATACAACATCATCGAAAGGAATGCAGCATGATATAATGTTGAAACCATGAACTACCTCAAGCTAGTAATTCACACAGCGTCTGGCAGATGTCATGGATCACTGCTCCCCTCAAAAAATTAAAATATCTGTGCACCAAGGAAGCATAACAAAATGCGGAGACAAAGAAACAGGACAAAATTGTCAATGGAAGATATAGAGTTCAGAACCACACTTTTAAGGTCTCTCAAGAACTGTTTAGAAGCCGCCGATAAACTTAATGAGATCTACAAGAAAACTAATGAGACCCTCGATGTTATATTGGGGAACCAACTAGAAATTAAGCATACACGGACTGAAATAACGAATATTATACAGACTCCCGACAGCAGACCAGAGGAGCGCAAGAATCAAGTCAATGATTTGAAATGCGAGGAAGCAAAAAACACCCAACCGGAGGGGCGGAATGAAAAAAGAATCCAAAAATGCGAGGATAGTGTAAGGAGCCTCTGGGACAGCTTCAAGCGTACCAACATCAGAATTATAGGGGTGCCAGAAGATGAGAGAGAGCAAGATATTGAAAACCTATTTGAAGAAATAATGACAGAAAACTTCCCCCACCTGGTGAAAGAAATGGACTTACAGGTCCAAGAAGCGCGGAGAACCCCAAACAAAAGGAATCCAAAGAGGACCACACCAAGACACATCATCATTAAAATGCCAAGAGCAAAAGATAAAGAGAGAATCTTAAAAACAGCAAGAGAAAGAAACTCAGTTACCTACAAGGGAATACCCATACGACTGTCAGCTGATTTCTCAACAGAAACTTTGCAGGCCAGAAGGGAGTGGCAAGAAATATTCAAAGTGATGAATACCAAGAACCTACAACCAAGATTACTTTATCCAGCAAAGCTATCATTCAGAATTGAAGGTCAGATAAAGAGCTTCACAGATAAGGAAAAGCTAAAGGAGTTCATCACCACCAAACCAGGATTATATGAAATGCTGAAAGGTATCCTTTAAGAAGAGGAAGAGGAAGAAAAAGGTAAAGATACAAATTATGAACAACAAATATTCATCTATCAACAAGTGAATCTAAGAATCAAGTGAATAAATAATCTGATGAACAGAATGAACTGGTGATTATAATAGAATCAGGGACATAGAAAGGGAATGGACTGACTATTCATGGGGGGGAAAGGGGTGTGGGAGATGCGGGAAGAGACTGGACAAAAATTGTGCACCTATGGATGAGGACAGTGGGTGGGGAGTGAGGGTGGAGGGTGGGGCGGGAACTGAGAGGAGGGGAGTCATGGGGGGGAAAAAAGAGGAACAAATGTAATAATCTGAACAATAAAGATTTAATTAAAAAAAAAAGATTAATAACAAGAGGTCAGGGGGTTTAAGAGACCCCTCCTTTCATAGGGAGTCTTCTGGATGGCAGACAGGGCAGTGAGAATAGGCAGGACTCAAGAAAAAGGGGGGAGTGTGGCTCAGCCTTTGCTATCCCCCCAGGCTAAGCTAGGTGTCTGTTATATCTCCCACAACACAGTGCTGCTTTTTGGCATAGTGCTGTTAGAGCTTCTAATGCTACATTTATTTGATGATTATTGATTAATAGTTTTATACTATATCATGCTGTGGTAGACTCAACAATGCCCCCACCCCAGCCAAAGATGTCTATATCCTAATTTCCAGAACCTGTGAATATGTTGCCTGGCACAGTAAGAGGGACTTTGTAGGTATGATTCCATTAAGGATTTAAAAAAAAAAAAAATTAAAATATCTTACAGCACCCCTGTGAACTCACAGCAGTGCCCTGGGGCACCTTAGCACACCATTTGGGAACCCTGGGATTAGCCAAGAAATAATGATGATGGTGATATTGATGATGAAATAATTGGCATGTATCCCTTGGTTTCTGTTTTTAATGAATTTTGAATCTCCATTAGTAATATATCTCCCTGTGAATGGCCCAAGAGGCACGATGAAAGTTTATTAACACATTAGGATGTTTTGCATCCTAGTGGGGCCATAAGTAACTTTCTATTGCTTTTACAAGTTTAGCAAAGAAGTTGATAATTAAATTGTAAACTTCCAGAATCTTCCAAGTCACAAAAGTAAGACCTTTCTTGGTTAAAGGCCTGTGTGTGTTCTTGGGGACCTCACTGGGACCCGGCTGAGGAAGAGACAATAGAATCAGTCCTTTATGTGAGATGTCCCTGGATTAACACTCCCCATCCCCTGCTCTTTGCCGTGACTAATGGCTGTGCTCAAAAACAGAAAAAAAAAAAAAGGCAAACCATGAGAAACACTAAAACACTGAATTTGGCCAGTCTCAGGGAGCCAGACAAGCTCAACTGTCTTCCCAGGTGCATGTCCTAAGACACAAGAGGCAAATCCAAGTTCAGTCACAGCCAGGTCCAAACAGTAACGAGGAAAGCAGGTACAGGAGTGATGCTTCCTCTGGAAAAGTCCAGCGCAAGTCTGGTTCCTCTTTTTCTTGCGTAGGTAACAGCATTAGTGACTAATTTGGCTGAGAAGGGATTCAGGGAAACGTAACATTCTTCTGTTGACTTGCTTTAAGTACATCTTCTAATATTATTTGTTACAGAAGGAATATATGTCATTGTAAATAAAATTAAGTTACAGATAAGCAAAAAGGGAGAAGATAAAATCACAATGTTATTACTCAGAGGATATCATCTCTGCACACGGGCATCCTTGTTCTTCTTTTTTTATTTTAGCTAAAAAGGAAATTGTGTTGTTCTGTGGCCTCTTTTTCGCTAGAAGATATATTCTTCTAAAACGACCATTTTAACAGGTACGATCATTTTCTGAGGATGAATGTGGTGTAATTTATTTTTAAATTCTCTAGCTTTGGACATCTATGTTGCTTTAGCTGTTTGCTAATATAAATGATGCTGTAATGCAAATACTCAGAGTTAAACACTTGAGCACATCTTTATTAGGAGAAATTCTTTGAGTTGGAATTTCTGGGTCATAAAGTACACACTTTTAGAGGGTTTGATAACGTACTGCCAAACTATCAGCCTCGCAAAAAAAAATTTTGACCTAAAAATATGTACCTTTTTACAATCCCATCAGCCATGTGTGAAAGAGTCTTAAAGAGCTTGTGTTTTGATGCCCAAAGCAACTGCTAATTGGCTTAGATGAGTTGTAAGGAGGGGGAGGGGGAAGGAGGTGACAGAATTATTTCTCTACTTGAATTTAGAAACAAAACTATCCCTGAGAATTTCTCAGTAAGTGGATTTTTATGAAGACTTCCTGCCAGACAACACACCAGGGTCATTTATAATCCACGCAGGGAGAGCATCTCCAAGCAAAATTCAGCATGGAAGTCCGCACCAGGCCTTGTAATGTAAACATGTGGAGAAGAATATGGGCTTTGAGATAGAACCAAGAGGAGGGCCATCAGGATTACAGACACACTGCCGGACAGACAGAGGGAAGGGGCTCTGAAAACAGACTGGGTGGTGGAGTGGGGAGGGAACATGCTAACAGGCACGTGAGTGATATGAACGCTGGGCGAAGGGGCGGCTTTGTAGTGTCATAAGCCGGCCTGAGGCCCCACAGAGTCTGCTGTTTTAGCATATAAATATCCGTATGCCAGCGGCTTGCAAGGGATGCTGGGGAAGAAAGAGCGCATTTCCTCAAGCGCCCAGTGGCTCCACGGCTCACGAGCTACATGATCACCGGTGATCATTTAACTCCTGTGAATCTTCATTTCCCCATCTGTAAAATGGGCTCAGTGATAATCCTTTTCTCAGAAGCTCGGTGTGGGTTTGAGCAAGGTGATTAATGGTAAGTGCAAGTTCAACAGTGCCTGGCACCTCAGAGGCCATCAATGCATAGCTGTGGGTAGAAGGTGAAGAAAACTAGATAATTAGCTGGATCTATTCAGTTTTACTATGAGATAGAGAATTGAAGCAAGGGTGAGGGTTCTGTGTCAACCTTCCCAGTGGCCCTGCCACTAACAGATTATGTCCTGGGGTAGGAGGCAGGCTTCAGCCACCTGCCTCTCGGAAACGTTCTGGACACTGACCACGAACGAAGCTGCCACCAGGCCAGGCTTCCAGTAGACCACGGAGGGGCTAGCGTCTGCAGTTTGCTACGAGGGCTGGACATCAGCTTGGAGAGAACTGGGATGCACGAATTTGGTCGGGGTGTCCTGCCTGCCTGGTCCTGGGCTAGCACCAGAGAAAGCCTGGTCGGTGAGCACATGAGAGCTGGCACCCAGTCCTCCCTCTAGGGGGCAGCAGGGGTTTAGGACTCAGAGGTGCCTAGGGACCAAAGGAATACGAGAACATTCCTCAAGGCCCCTCTTTACTCAGATGAATGGAACTGGGTTCCTTCACATCGCAGCCCAGTCTAGCAACGGAACCTTGAAAAGGAAGGAGCAAAGATGCCAACTTCTTGGATGAGATATAAGACAAGCTACCAGAATGCCCAACTGAAGAGAAGGGTTACATACGTTAGAACACTTCCTTGGAGCCCTTAAGCCTCATGCATGGAGCTACCTGTACTGACGTGGAAAGCGTTCAACCTCCCCGAGACTCAGTTTCCTCATCTGTAAAATGGGATTAAAGAACTCCCCTCACAGGGCTGCTGAGAGCCTGGCACCGCACCTGCTGCATGGTAAGTGGTCAAAAAATGTTAGCCTGTGTTATTAGTGTATTTTGTTAAGAAAAAAAATGCAGATTACAAAATAACAGTTACAATTAGATCCCGTGTTGTTGTTTTTATAAAGAAGATATAAATAAGTGGTAGAAGTATGAGCCCCAAAATGTGAATGAGGGTGACCCCTGGGTGGTGGCATCACCGTGAGCTGTCGTCCGTATTTATCCTTCTTTGGATTGTATAAGTTTACTTTTTTAAACAATGAACATCCTATATTTTTATAATGAGAAGGAACGAAGGAAGGAAAGGAGGAAAAAAGGAAAGAAAAGATCAAAAAAGAGCTACCCACTCAGCCTACATCCTCACATGTGAGAGGATGATAGAAGCAGACAGACAGGAGGTTATATGCAGCGATCTTAAATGCTACTAGTATTTAGAGTTCATACCGACGTGGGGAAATGCTTCTACTAGGACGTAAAGGGGAAACCAGGATGCAAAATGTTTTCTGCATCATAATCTCAGCTGTGTGAAAAATGCAAAGAGAAAGGATTTGAGGAAAATATGCCCAAATATTCACAGTGACTACCTCTGGATGCTAGGATTAGATTGTCTTCATACTGTCTTATATTTTCCAAATTGCCTACAAGAGGCCTAGATTGCTTCCGTAATCAGAAAGAATGTGCCACTGATAATAATAACAACAATAATAATAAAAACTGCTCTTACTTGCTTGACGGAAACCAGAAGCAGCAGAGCGAGGAAGGACCGCGCAGGGGACTGGAGAGAGCGCTTCCCACGGGAGGGGAGAGAGCTGGCCCCCGGGGAGGCAGGGCTGTGGGTGGGCAACGCACGGACCCCCGGCCGGGGCCCCGAGGTCCTCCTCCGGGGCCCTATCCTGCTGGGTTCCGGCCTCATCTTCCTCGCGGCACCCTCACAAGTGCGGGCACATTTGTCTGACGGTCCAAGATGTACCGCAGGCAGCCTCCTGTCGCATCCCTCCGTGTCCAGCGAGGAAATGTTTGCACAAAGTCTCTCCACACGCGTCAAGAGCGTCTGCACCCGGCTAGACCAATCTACTGGCTCTCCCAAGTTTCTCATCAACCGTAGCTCAGCCCCGTCCAGCCCCCCCCAGGGCAGGGAGATTTTTCCCAGACCTCCCCAAGTCAGCTGTGTTTGCTGGGACGTCCTCTGCGGAGGTCCAGGAGGAAAAGCAAGGCAGCCCGGAGGTTCCACCCCCGAGGCCTGGCTGTGGCCGCTCGGGTTCGAGCCGCTGAGGCATGGCCGGCAGAGAGGATGGGCCTCGAGCCAGCTCCTGGTGGGCATCTTCCTGATGGAGACATTTTTGGCTAAGGCGTTGGGATGGCCCAGGCCGGGCTGAGCCCAGCCTCCGAGGTTGTCCAGGCCTCCTTGGGCCCTGTCTGTGCCAAGACTTCACAAGAAACAGCTGCCCGGCCCAGGAGAGCAGCTCCTGACCCAGGACCTGAAGCAAACACCCAATCGGTGATCCAAGTTCTGTCTGCGCGGCGGCAACGCAACACGCTGAGAAGTCAGCTGCGCCTCCTGGCATGGCCCACGCGTTCCGAGCACATCACGCAGCTCCCCTGGCAGACCTTTCTCCGGAACACGTGAGCCGTCACTTAGGACTGTATTTGTGCTTCCCCATCACAATTCACTTTTACAAAGGCTTTTCACCCAGCATCCTATTCATTCGTCCCCACGATACTCCTGTGAGGGCTGCTATTTCTCCACTTGACAGCTGAGAAACTAAGGTTCAGAGACGTTAGGTTATTTGCCCAAGGCCACACAGCAGTAAACAGCAGAGCCAAGATACCTCCCCAGGTCCTCTGACCAGTCACCTGGCCACAGCGATGTGGTAAGTTGCCTTATCTTACCCTAACTCTAGGCAGTTCCATTTCTCTAGTGGTCTCATCACCGTGCCTCTGAAAGGCTCTGTGTGGCCCTTCTCACCTCACCTCTCCCAGCCTAGCTCCCAGCATCCCCCGCCAAGTCCTCCCAGCCTCTGGAACTGGAGGCCCAGTGGACCACATCCTGACTGGATGAGATGCAGGTCAGCAGGAACTCATCTTGGTCAGCTTATCTGCGTGAGTAAATTCTGAACAGTTGGAGAGAAGCCGATGAGCAACCCCTCATAGAAATCCTTGCGAGTCTTAGGAACTGCCTGTGGCAAGATTTTAATCCTTAGCAACGAATGCTCATAATGAGCAGAGACACACACCCTCCCCCCCCCCCCCCCCCCCCCACCCCCCCTGCCAAATGGACTCTTTTAACGATGTGGCCTCTGGCACCAATGTGGTCATCTCTTGGGGACAAAAGAGAGCAGGACGAAGTGACATAGAGGGAGCAAAGTGCCCACATGGTTGGCTCCGGTCCTTTTGCTATGGTTGTACAGTTATCCTGCAACTGCCCAGTTAAGGCTGGCTTCCAAGTGGCGTGCTGGCAAAGAAAATGCCAGCTTGGTAAGAATCTTCCATCTAATCTCTTTTTCTCAAAAACAACCTTTTTCTAGAAGGTGGGGACACACATGGCTTCCCCCATCCATCGACGGATGCCATCTAGTGAGAAAACTTGGTAAACCAGATGCTTGCGGCTCCTGGGCGCCTGTCAGCACACCCTCAGCCTTTAGCAGCAGACAGGACAGAGCACTGCTGGCAGCCCACAGGCGCTGCCTTTTCGCCCACCCGCCCGGGCCGGTCCATGCTCAGTAATGTCCGAGTGTCTTCAGGAGGTGCCGCATATGTAATCGAGAGCCTGCACGTTTCAGATGCCACAGGAATCTTCCCCGACTCTCCTGCCCTCGCTGCTCCATGAGTGCCCTCGGCCCAAGAAGCAGCGTGAGCCTCCCTCGCGCCGCAGTCCTCCCTGCTGCAGGGCCCCACTGTAAGGGCATGAGTGACGGGCCAAGGGCTCTGCCTGCAGCCCTGGGGGCTCTAGGATCGGGCTGAATTCTGCGCCCATGTGGGGTGGGGCGCCCTCCCCTGTTCTGCACGGCACCTGGGCCTGAAGCAGGCTGCCTGCACCTCGAGTCTCTCAAAGCCCATCGAAGAGGAAGTCCCTCCTTGTGGGGCTGGGCAGGGAGCCATGCCGGCCCCAGATTCCCCAAATCCAACGCTGAGGCCCCTGCTCAGTGCAAAGGGCAAGGGTGGGGAGACTATACCCAGAAACCCACCCAAACCCCCCTGATCTTCCCTCAAAAGCTAGCACCCCCCACAGTAGCCAAAAGGTGGAAACAAGCCACCTGTGCACCAGATGAACGGGCGAACAAGACGTGGTCCGTCCACTCTGTGGGGCATTACTCAGCCTTAGAAAGGAAGGAAGCTCTGGCAGGAGTCAACTCGGATGGACCGTGAGGACAGTATCCTACGTGAAAGAAGCCAGTCATAAAAAGGCAAATTCCACTTATACCCAGAGCGATCAGATTCATAGAGACAGAGGGTGGTGTGGTGGTGGCTGGGGCTGGGGGAGGAGGATGGGGAGTCAGTGTTGAGTGGGTACAGTGTCTCAGTTTCCCGAGATGAAAGTTCGGGGGAAGGATTGCACAATGTGTATTTCACTACAATGGAAAAAACCGGAAAGCCCCCCTAACCTCTACGCCCTGGGGAGCACTGTGATGGAGCGCACCCAGACCTGTGCATTCTCACCAGGCCCCTCAGGCTACTGCGCTCACTTGGATGCCCCAGGCTGGCATGCACCGACTCCCCGGGGAGCACCACGGAAGCCTGTGAGCTGCCCAATGGCCGGGCTGGGGAGGGTGGGCACCACGACCAGGAGGGGAGGAGGGGCCACTGTTCATCCTACACTGCACACCTCACATGGGCCACGAAGTTTCAATCGCACTGAACGTGCATGCCCGCACGTGGTATTCTGTGGAAGAGCCACACTCAAGGGGCCAAAGAGCAGGATGTGGCTCTCGAGCCGCGGTTTGCCAACCACTGCGTTAGGGAATTAGGTGGATGGGTGCTGCTCCCCGTGACCTGGGAGAAAGGACTTCTCCTGGGCAGGGCTTCAGGAAAGGGTGGGACCGGAAACCTCGCCTCTTAGGCAACAGTGAAGCCATGAGACTCCGGCCGGACCAGACGCAGCTGCAGGCTGTCCACCTGCAATGGGCACATGCCTTGTCTACACAACACTGTGAGGTGGGTGATAACGGCCCCTGGCTTCCTGATGAAACAGCTGGTACCAGGAGGGGGCAGGGGCTTTCTCAACTTCCAACAGGGACAAAGCACAGCTCGGGTCTGAGTCGGGATCTTCCAGGCTCTGTCTCTAGCGACAGGAGTTCCCTGGGTGCTGTTGTCACCCTGGACTGCTCACCACACCCCCACCTCCTCACGGATCACACACGAAAGTCTTCCATATGTTGTCGGGGACACACGCTGGAGTCCAGGGAGGGTGGTGTTCTCAGTGATTCGTGGACAAGGCCAAGTGCTGTAGAAATAATGTGTGGAGCCCTTTCTGATTTAAGTGCATCTCATATCCTTGATGTCCAGCCAGAAAGTGAATTTAATAAGCACCTTGCTGGGTTTACTCAAAGATTACTCCGCAGAGATGCCTGTCCAGATATTCTTGTAAAATTAAATAAAAATAGTTTCAATAGTCAAACAAATTTGGAAAATGTCGCCTATTACATTTTCTTCTTGGGAATTCTCAGTGCACATTAGTCCATTAAAATATCTGAGCCCTAGCTGGTTTGGCTCAGTGGCTAGATCATCGGCCGGCGGACTGAAGGGTCCTGGGTTCAACTCCACTTAAAGGCACATGCCAGGGCTGTGGGCTCGATCTCCAGTAGGGGGCATGCAGGAGGCAGCCAATCAATGATTTGCTCTCATCATTGATGTTTCTCTCTCTCTCTCCCTCTCCCTTCCTCTCTGAAATCAATAAAAATATATTTAAATATACATATATATGAGAAGCCCCACAATAAAGAAACCTGTTACTGTAACACACACCAGTACTTCTCCACATCTGGTGGCCGTAGGAAAACTGTCCATGTAAAACATGGGTTAATGTTCTGCGAGCCGTGTTCAGTGGGGCGCTCTTCGGAAAAGGCTGAGAACAACAGACCCATGTTTTTGATTGCGAAGCTGGAGGTAGAGCGCCCCCACTGAGGACCGTACATCCCAGTCCTGAGGGAGGAGACGTGGAACTCAAACTCCTTCACTCTGAGCCCAGACTTGCCTGGTCCCCAAAATACCCAAAACTTAACTGAAGGGCAATTAACTGTCTTGTGATGATCAACAAACGTGTTTGTGTCCAGCAATCTAAAAAGCCTCCATCACATTTTTACTTGTTTTCTAATACACGGATCATCCAGGTAAACAGGGTCTAAACACTGTTATCATTTTATTAAGAAGGAATAAAGGAGGCCATCTTCTCCAGAATGCCTTTCCCCCCGAAAAACATCACCACCTCATGTGCTACCAGATGCCCCTACAGCAAAATATTTGGAATTAAATTTTTTTTTCAAGATACTGACTAAAATAATAGCAAACATATGAGAGAGTAAACGTAAGGTACACATCAGAGGATGCACATAAATGCTTACAGTGGCCCTGGCCGGTGTGGCTCAGTCGGTTGAGCATCATCCCATGCACCTGAAAGGTTGCAGGTTCATGCCCGGTTTCGGACGCATCCCTGGTAGGGGGCATGCAGGAGGCAGATCGGTGTTTCACTCTCATGTAGATGTTTCTCTCTCTCTCTTTCTCACTCTCTCCTCCCTTCCTCCCTCCCTCTTCTTTCCTCTCTAAAAATCAACAAAAAAATATATATATTAAAATGCTTACAGGAGGTGGTAAGAAAAGGGAATGAAACGGGGCAGGCAGGGAATGCCAACGACCTTGAAATCTCACCCTCCGATAAGGGGACAGCCTCTTGCTCAGCTGAGCCTATGGCCATGCGGC